AGGAACAGGCTGTACAGTTACTGATCACTGTGATAACCAATCACTGGCTATCACAGCAATCATGTGATTGAGATCTTCAAGCAGTTGTCAGTGAAGAGCCACTTCTTTATTTGCAATTATGACTGTGATTTCAGATTGTGTTACTTTGCGTCTGATCTGCAGGAACTCCGGCCTCTAGGTGACTTTCATAAAGTATTGTGTAACTTGACTGCATGAGCTACAAGGCTTACATCCTAAGATGATTTATAAGGTCACTTAGCTTAAAGCAGTGTTTTAAACCTAAAGTAAAAATGGAAAATATAACTAAAGGCAAAATCTTTTTAGTGCTGCACAGTGGAGATGGGTTAGAATACTTGCTTTTGTTGCTACCTGTGCTCCTGTTTGGGAGATTCACCCTCTTTAATTGACCTGAATATCATTATCATTGAAAGGAAAAGGCAAAAAAAGTTTTGCCTGTGATTCTACTGTAATATATTGCAATTTGACCTTTCTTAGATGTTCAGGTTGTATTAGTTTTTCTTTTTTTAGGCTGTTTTCCTTTATTTTCACCTGGTAATCTGGCCAGTAAGTCTGTTGTTTTTCAACTTACTTTAACAGACTGCGCTAGCAAGACAAAGTAGCAGTTAGTGTGTCGAGACAAACCGTTTACCACTGACATGGGTGTGTACAATGGTCAGCTCTTATTTACCGTATTTATTCGAGTATAACGCGCAAAATTTTCAACCAAAAAAAGAACTCAAAGTTTGGGTGCGCGTTATAAACGAGGGTTGGTGTGGGGTGACGCGGTGGCGGCCGATCCATTGAGGGCGCAGGCGCAGGCTCTCACTGTACGCGAAGAAAAAAAAAACGTCCCCTGTGCCGGCCCCGCCCCTTTAAGCAGGGGATCGGTTTTTTTTTTCTACGTCCCCTTGTCGCGTACAGTGGGCGGCCCGAACTGGCGAGATGCACTGGTGGGGTGACGCAGTGGCGGCCGGTCCATTGAGGGCGCATGTGCTCACAAGAAAGAAGAAGAAAAAAACGTCCCCTGTGCCTCTTCATTTCGTATGGTCGCTTCTTCATTTCCTTTCCTCACCCACGCGTTACGGTAAGCATTGCTGTTTTGCTGTGTTCTTCATTTGATAATCATATTCAGTGTTCATATTATTTATTGATATACTGGTACCCGTTAGATGGCAACTCAGGGAATCAAGAGAAAACGTTCTGCATATGACGCTTCATTCAAGCTCAAAGTTGTTGGTCATGCTGAAATTCACGGAAATCGAGCAGCTAGCCGAGAATTCACTGTACCAGAGACGAATGTTAGAGAATGGAGAAAACAGAAAGTCGTCCTGAAAGATATGAATAAAAGCAAAAAAGCACAACGAGGGAGACAAGCCATGTACCCAGACATGGAGAAGGAACTTTATGAATGGATCATTGACCAAAGAAGTAGTGGGTACATTGTCACATCACTCCACATTAGACTTCAAGCCCAAAAGTTTTGCAAAGATTCAACCTTCAAAGCCTCTAATGGATGGACACAAAAGTTTATGAAAAGGCATGGACTTGTAATACGCCAGAAAACAAAGATAGCGCAGAAGCTGCCAAATGATTTAGCAGAGAAGATCACTTCATTCCATACCTTTATAATCAAACAATGCAAGCAGATTCATTTTGAAATTTCACAGATAGGCAATATGGATGAGACCCCCATGTGTTTTGACCTACCAGGCAACAGGACAATTGACAGCAAAGGGAAGCACACAGTCCAGATTAAAACCACAGGCCATGAGAAAACTCATTTTACGGTTGCGTTATCCTGTATGGCAGACGGTTTTAAACTTAAACCAATGGTGATTTTTAAAAGAAAGACTATTCCAAAAGGAGTTAAATTTCCACCAGGTGTCGTGATCCATTGTCATCCTAAAGGATGGATGGATGAGAAGGGCATCATTTTATGGTTAAATAAAGTTTGGAATACTAGACCAGGCGCACTACTGAAGAAATCCATGCTTGTATGGGACCAGTTCCGCTCACACCTGACAGACACTGTGAAAGACAAACTGAAAAGTCTAAAGACATTTCAAGCTGTGATTCCAGGTGGACTAACCTCTATTCTTCAGCCACTCGATGTTGTTTTAAACAAACCCTTCAAAGACAGAGTCAGGGAAAAGTGGATTACCTGGATGAAATCCGAAGACAAAGAATTGACTGCAAAAGGAAACCTCAAGAAACCTGGCCTATCTCTCGTGACATCTTGGATTAAAACATCATGGGAAGACATGCCAAAAGAAATGATCATCAAGAGTTTTTTAAAAACAGGCATCAGCAATAAACTGGACGGCACAGAAGACGACCTGCTGTGGAATTCAGACTCAGAAGAAAGCGAAAGCGAAAGAAGCTGGAGAAACAGATGTTCCTGCCAACTGGGACACTGATGATACATTAACTCTAGAAGAATGGGAACAACTCTTTAGTGTATCTGATGATGATGAATCTGACTTTGAAGCATTTTAAATAAATATTGTTACCGGTAATTTTATTTCGGTATTGTGTTTACCTTGTCAATAAATGATTTTTATCATGGCCGCACGTGTTCAACAACGTTTGTCAATTACAATGCTTGGTCTGAGCCGAGGAAAAGTGAAACAAAAATTTTATACCGATTTTTAATCGAAAATTAGGGGTGCGCATTATACACGAGTGCGCGTTATACTCGAATAAATACGGTATGTGATATCTTTAGCCTAAAAGGTAAAAAAAATGTTGCTGTGATTACCTAAGGCAGAATTAAACCCTTCTATCCATTACAGCCAAGGAAGCTGCTATCTTAGATTCTGTTTGATCTGCAGTTGCCTTATTGCTGCACAGGTGATCATTTATAACACCAGCCATTTCATGGCTTGACAGTTTGGTTGAGAGCACAAGCAACTGTGACAGTTATTGGCTGCATGCTTGAATGTAACTGTTTTAGGAAACTTTTTAAATCGATGGGTTTAGCTTTGCTTAACCACCTCAGCTCTGGAAGATTTTACCCCCTTCCTGACCAGGCCATTTTTTGCTATACAGTGCTGTGTTACTTTAACTGACAATTGTGTGGTCATGCAATGCTGTACATAAACTACATTTATTTTCTTTTTTCCCACAAATAGAGCTTTCTTTTTGTGGTATTTGATCATCACTGTGTTTTCTTTCTTTTTTACAAACTAAATTAAAATAATACCAATTTAAAAAAAAAAATAAAATATATATATATAATATAATTTTTTTTTTACTTTCTGCTATAAAACATATTTAATAAAAAACTATTTACAAAATCAAATTTCATCATACATTTAGGCCTAAATGTATTCTGCTACATATTTTTGGTTAAAAAAAAAAAAAAAAAAAAAAACCCATTAAGAGTATATTGATTGGTTTGCGCAAAAGTTATAGTGTCTACAAACTATGGGATATATACTGGAAAATATATATATATATATATATATATATATATATATATATAGATAGATAGATAGATAGATACTGGTAGTGGCGGTAATTGGCAACTTTTTTTGATTTAAATCGGATTTTTTTAAATAAAATGCTTTTTGAGGAAAATCTATTACCATCCAAAGGTTATTCCATCATGAAATAAAGATTAGTTTTTTAATTATGTAGAATAAGGCTGTATATGTTTAATTTTTTTTGGTAAATAAATTCCATTAATCCATTCACAATGTCATGCTCTTCCAGAGGTTTTTGTAAGATTATTGGGCAGTTTCTCTGCCTACAAGATATTATCACAGATGCTTGGTTTACTTTTGCAGTTCTCAAAACTGAATTTGACTCAGCGGAGATCACATGCCTTTTCTTCACAGCAAAAATGTTATAACATGAACAGAGTTAAGAAAGACCTTAATCCTAACTTCTACAAACCTATAAATACAGAATCAACCCCTTCAGTGCTAAATTTCAAGAAGTTCAGTGAATAGAATAGAAACAATATTTTTCTGATTGTTTGGAGTGGAATAGATCTGCACAAGAAGAAAGTGAAACTAAGTGTGAGGAGGAAGGGGCTGACAGTCTAAGTTTCTTAAAATATATATATTTTGTTTAGCCAAATTAGTTAACAAACATGGATGTTTGTTTAAGCAAATAACATATGCTGTAATGTTATTGTTTCAGTTGAATAAATCTAGGTAATGATTATTTTTCTCCTTCCTAAGTACAACAGAAAAGTTGTCCAAATATGAATGATTAACCTATTAAACTGGGGATAAAAAAACTAATATGAAAAGTTGTTATTCTAAAAATCTTCATCTACTTGCATATTAAAGTTATACCAGCAAGAATTAGTCTTTATGTAGAAAACTATGATTTAAATCAAGCCTTACTGACTAGTGATTTAAATCGTGATTTAAATCCGTTTGATTTAACCTCCCTAGCGGTATGATTATTTCAGATTTTTGGTGCTGAAAGCGGTATCATTATTTTGCATGGAAATATGTAGTTTTTTTATTGTAGGCTGTAATTTTTAGGAATAACTCACTGAAATCTGTCTGAACAAGAGTCTATTAAACATCCCGGGTATGATAAAATTTGAAACACAAAATCATAAATTATAATTTAATAAAAAATAATAATATAATAATAATACATTTAATTCAATAAAATAATCAAACCAAAAACACTGAAATTTGAAATATAGCGCCAAGTTTGCACATCGCTGAGCAAAGTCGCAAAATTGTTTTCAGTTTCTGATGATGAATTTCCCCACGAATCATTATCACTCAATTCTGCAAGTGGTTCTGATTTACTATCGCTGTTCTCTAGCTGGTCTAAACCCGCTTTTGACCTAAAGGGACACTTTTTGGACGCCATGGACTTTTCTAAGTTTCCAGGCAGAAAGAACAATCAAAATGCAGACAGGGGACAGGACAAAGCACTAGGGACAAAATGTATGTGAAATGGGTTGAAACAGCAATGTTTTACTATGTAAAATCGTTTTGAAAAAAATTATATTTTTTTTAAATATTCAAATTTCCCGCCGTCGGCGGCACCTGTACGTCCCGACGTCACAGGGACCGGAACACAGGAGGCGGATGACGGCATCAGCCGGAGGAGATGGCCGGGGACGCTGCAGGGGACACATCGCGGGAGCGAAGGACAAGGTAAGTGCTGCAGGGACTCCCTGTGCAGCGCCGCATGGTAAGCCCGAGTGTAGCTCGGGGTTACTGCTTTTGGTACTGACATTTTACCCCGAGCTACACTCGGGAATACCGTTAGGGAGGTTAAATCAAATCCACCCTGAAGTAAATCCATTGATTTAGGACCAATTCATACTGACTTGCGGCTAAATGTATAGAAAATGGATGTACATTTCCATCCATTTTATTTGCACGCTAACATCTGTTAACATTCATTTTTGATGTCCGTTGACATGCATTTTAGTGCATTTAAAGCATTTCGTGTTTTTAAGGGATATCCTGTGCAGTTTGTTGACATCTGCTTGCATCCATTTCATTGTGCTAAAATGCATAAATGTTGCATATCAATTAAACGCAGGTCATCACAGCCTTATAGTGTGAATAGGAGACATTGGAAATTGCTAAAACACAGATCAACACACTGGTGTGAATTGGCCCTTAACAGTTACATTCAAGGCTTGCTAGGAATGATGTCACAGTTGCTGCTGCTGTGGTGCCGCACCATAGCTTCTATGAATGAAAAGCTATCTCTGAATGAAGGATAGGCAGATGAAATGCGATAAATGTAGTAGGCAAACCTTGCAATCATAGATTGACGCTATAGTACAGCTTCTATGAATGGAATAATTTCTTCTAAACTAGTTGTCATACATTTCACTGATCGGAAGTAATGTCCTTTTGTGTTATTTTTTTCTCTTAATGTGGGTTTTAAAAAGCGTTGGCTGGAGTTTTGCTTTATATGTTAGTCATGTCCATCTAAATCTGCACTGCACTTTGTCACATGGCTGGTGAAGGCTCATAAAACCTTCACCCATGAGGCTCAAAAAACATTCCTTCTGTAACTATAATGTGATTGCTGAATAAAGCTTCTGACTCATTCTAAAGATCCTTGGTGTGCTGGTGACATACTTTCTGCTTTGAATGTCTGTAGTTGCTAGCCGTGGTCAATGTAGCACCCACTAACATCCACATTCATTTTTCGGAATGTGTGCTTTGGGAATATTGTGTTTGGACCATCTAAATCTGCTAGGGCATCTAACACTACCAAAGGTCCAAAGGTGCTGTCCAAAGGTATCTCCGTTATTCTTCTATAGAGTGGAGACAGCCTAAGACAGGAAATGTTTTGCTGCCGAGATCACCAGGTGACAATAAGGGGGGGGGGGGGGGGGGGGGGGGAGGAGTCTAAAAAAGAAAAACTAATGCAGTCACCACATTTGTAGTGGTTCTAAAGGCTCAAGGTTTTTTTTACCTTCATGCATTCTATGATCTGGGAGGTTCGGGGCTGCTCTATACAAAACCACTGCACAAAGCAAGTAAGTATGGAATTGTGGGTTTTTTTTATAATTTTTTATTGTGTTTTTTTTTAAACTTACATTTACTATCACTTTAACCGGTTGCCGACCAGCCACAGTACATTTACTGCGGCAGGGCGGCACTGCTGCGCAAACTCACGTGTGTATATATACGTCATTTTGCATATAGGGTAGGGGGCACACGACCGCCCTACCCGTGCCGCTGGCCGCGGGTGTCAATCACCCGGCCAGGTCCCGGCCAGTGATTACCGGCAATCACTGACAGAGAGGACAGCTGCATTGTTTTCAAAGCTCTCCTCCCTGTAAGTTTCTAGCACACTATTCCATAGAGCAGAGCTTAGCTTTGCTGGACAGTGTGTAACTCTGAAGCACTCACCCCCCCCCCCCTAGTGAAACACTCTCCTCACACAGTTAACTCTTTGGTTGCCTAAAAATGTTAACCCCTTCCTCCCCAGTGCCATTAGTACAGTGTCAGTGGTTTGGTTTTTTTTTTTTTAACACTGATCACTGTATTGGTGTCACTGGGGATGTCAGTGACCCCAAGTCAGTTCCCCCCCAGTGTCACAATGTCCTCCACAGTATCGCCATAAGTCGCTGATCGCCGCCATAAGTTGCTGTTCTCCGCCAATATTGGTATAAAAAAATAAAATTTCCAGTATATATACCGCCATTTGCAAACGCTATAACTTTCACGTAAACCAATTAATTTACATGTATTGTGATTTTTTTTTTTTTTTTTTTTTTTTTTAGCAAAGACATGTCGCAGAATACATTTTGGCTTAAATTTATGACGAATTTGATTTTTACATTTTTTTACTGGACATTTTTTATAGCAAAAAAAGTTCAAAATATAATTTTTTTTTTTCTCAAAATTGTCGGTCTTTTTTTTTTTTTTTTTTTTTTTTAGTGCAAAAAATAAACGCACAGGTGATCAAATACCACCGAAAGAAAGCTCAAATCGTGGGGGAAAAAGGGCGTAAATTTAACTTGGGTGCAGCGTTGCATGACCGCGCAATGGTCAGTTAAAATAACGCAGCGCCGTAAAACACAAACAGCTTCTGTAACCGCTTCCTGACCGCCCTATAGCAGAAATACAGAGCGGTACAGGTCCGCAAAATCATATATATATATATATATATACGTGATACGCGCTCCTGTGGTTTTCACGCCCCTCCCAGATAGCGTCAGATTGCCCGTCCGACACCAGTAATCACATTTAATCCCTTGATTGCCAGGAACACGCTCATACACCATAAACCTCCATTGCTAGCATAGTGTCTAAACGGATCAATATCTTTGATCAGATCAGTACTATACCAGCGTTCACATTAGTATAGCGGCCCCAAAAACGTAGCGGGATCAGCGCCAGCAGCTGCGTTTAGCCCCTACGCTTACCCCCCCCCCCCCCCCCCGTCTCCGCCAGCAAGTGCAGTGTCAGGTCACTGTCACTTGATACATTGCACACAAAACCGCAGTGTTTGCAGAAGCAGGACTGATCTCTGTTAGCACTTGCCGGTAAATTTTGATGACTCTCATATGCAGCAGAGTGCCAGTACTAGTGCCATGCTACCATTTGGTGAACTGGCAAGCACTAGTGACCTAGTACATCATGGTCTTTCATATACTTCTTAGATTGTAAGCTCCAAGGAGCAGGGCCCTCCTAACCCTCTTGTATTGAACTGATTGTTGCTGTATTGTCTCCCGTTATATTGTAAACTGCTGAGCAAACAGTTGGCACTATATAAATCCTGTATTATAATAATAATACCAGCACTACAGTATCAGTTGGTGACGCAGCAAGCCCCATAAGTGCAGTACAAGCTGGTGCGGTGGCAAGCACAAGTATTGTCCTGCAACCACTAAGAATTTGCACACAGGTCCATAGAGCCCCTAGTATCCTTTCAGATGTGCTTGCAAATCCCGATTGGCATCCCACAAATTCTGCAGCACTTGTACTTCCCCCATTCACTGCCCAACCCGGAATTCAAATGGAAACAGCAAATTTAACTACCCCTTGATTGTTTTTCACAGAAGATCTGTATGCATTGATTGTGAATCAAAGCAATTTATATGTACAACAATTTATCAACACCAACCTAAATCCAAACCTTGCCAGAGCATTCGCATTGAAACCCATTACGGTTTCCGAATTTAAATTTTTTTGGGGGGGCCTAACCCTCAACATGGGCATTACTAAAAAAAATGAATTGCAGTTGTATTGGTCCACAGACCCCATTCATCATATCCCGCGTTCTCTGCTGCCATGGCAGGCATAGATATGAGAGTATAATGTGTTTTATGCATTTCAACGACAATACACTCTGTCGTCCTCAGGGTGACCTTGAATTTGACCAGCTCCACAAAATTCTGCCCCTCGCAAATCACCTTAACCAAAAATTTGCAGATGTCTATACTCCCCAGCAAAAAATCTGCGTTGCCGAGTCTCTCATTAATTTTTCTGGCCACCTTGCATTCAAACAATTTCTTTCCAGCAACCGTGCCAGATATGGGTGTCAAGATGTATAAGACCTGTGAGACAGGCTATACTTAGTTTCAGATTTACGAGGGAAAAGATAGTCACGTGGAGCCCCCCGGATGCCCAGACTACATGGAGAGCAGTGACAAGATAGTTTGTGGCTTGGTGTCATCCTTTTTCCATATGGGGTACCACGTATACGTGGACAATTTTTATTCAAGCGTGCCACTATTTAGACATTTGTACAATCTTGGAACTGGCACATGTGGCACCATGTGACCTAATGTGTGCCCACCATTAAAAGTGGGTGGATGCAGGGTGGTATATTCTAATGGTGGGCATACCACACATATACTTTATCTGGCAGAGATTTCTTCTCTTTTTTTCATTCAGCCCACAGGTTGCATACAAAAAACAAACAAAAAAAGAACATAGCATATATACCCAACAAGGATCTGCAACGTACTGGTACATCATTGGACTTTGGTTATACCAGGATGATGTCTACAGCTGCAGGCATCATCCTGATATAATTTTTTTCAGCCAGTGAACGGCTTTCATGTAAAAGCAATCCTAGTGGCTAATTAGCTGCAGGATTGCTTTTACAAGCAGCGGGAGATGATGCCCCCCTTCCCCCTCTGCCTTCCACGGCCTTCTCGGGCAGTCCAGTGCCATCAGGGGAACCTGAGAATGCAGCCAGTGTTTCTGCCAGCTTAACATAGAGCTGATTGGAGATCAGAGTGGTGCCAATCATCTCTATAGTCTAAGAAATCGGAAGCTACGAGCATTTAATCACTTCAGTTTCGCAGGATATAAACAGCACCATTTGTAAATTTGGAAAGCATCTGATCACACCGATCTTGGTTTGATTAGATAATGTAAGGGGAGAGAAGATATCTAGAGTCTGATAGACCCCAGAAAAAGAATATATGACAATGCCCATTGAAGTTATAGGGGATATTTGCATTCCCTGTGATAGCATTAAAAGTGATCAAAAAATTAAAAAAAAATGAAAGGGACAGTGTAAAAATAATAAAAAATCAAAATAACTTAAAAAAAAAATAAAACGAGTGTGCACGAGAGTTGAACTTGTGCCGGTATGTAAACAGCGGTTGCACCATGCATGTGAGGTATCGCCGTGAACGTTAGATCAAGGGCAGTAATTCTAACACTAGACCTCCTCTGTAAATCTAAAATTGTAGCTTGTAAAGGCTTTTAAAACGTTGCCTATGGATATTTAAAATGTATGCAGTTTGTTGCCATTGCGCAGGGCATGCACAGTTTTAAATCATGTCATGTTTGGTATCTATTTACTCGGCATACCATCATCTTTTATATGTTACCAAATAATTGGCCAATATGTTGTGTTTTTGTGCATTTTTTTTAATGTGCTTTTGAAAAATCGCTCCGCGAGTACTATGTGACATTACAAATTGTAGTACCCACCATTTTATTCACTAGGGTGTCTGCTTTAAAAAAATATAATGTTTGGGGGTTTAAATTAATTTCCTAGCAAAAAATACTGATTTGTTTTCATGTGAACAAAAAGAAGAGTGAATGATGTGTGGCATAAACTTCTACTGCTGGGTGTAAAATGCCCCCACCCCCCAAAACAACCCCTTTTTGGACACTTCAAACTATTTGCTGAGAGGCATGTTGAATCAATAGAAGAATTTTTTTTTTTGTTTTTGGAAAATTACTAAAATTTTCTTTTTTTTTAAACAAAATTGTCACTTAATTGATTTACTGCTCACACATGCCATGGGTATATGTGGAATTACTCCCCAAAATACATTCTGCTACTTCTCTCGAGTATCGGGGATACCACATGTGAGAGATGTTTTGGCAGTTTAGCCAAGTACAGGGCCCCAAAATCCAATAAGCACCTTCAGGCTTTTAAAAGGCTTTATTTCCTCATTACACTTCCTGACTACCTATCACAGTTTCGGAGACCCTGAAATGCCAGGATAGCACCAAACCCACCCAAATGACCACTTTTTTGGAAAGCAGGCACCCCAAGGAATTTGATAAGAAGCATGATGAGTATTTTGCAGATCTCGTTTGTTGCCACAAGTTTTTGGAAAATGAAGAAAAAAAAACAAAAATATTTTTTTCTTTTTCTTTTTTTATATTTCAAAACCTTGTGAAAAAAAAAATGAGATCTGCAAAATACTCACCATGCCTATTTTTAAATTCCTTGGGGTATCTACTTTCCAAAAAGGGGTCATTCGGGGGGGGGGGGGGGGGGGGGGTTGGTGCTATCCTGACATTTCAAAGTGGTCATTGGATTTCAGGCTCCTGTATGTGACTAGGCTCCCAAAAAGTCTCATACGTGGTATCCCCATACTTGGTAGAAGTAGCAGAATGTGATAAGCAGTCAGAAAGTAAAAGCTGTGTAAATTCCATTATCTATACCATAGTTTGTAGACACTATACCTTTCACACAAAGCAATCAATATACACTTATTGAGATTTTTTTTTAGCCAAAAACATGTAGCAGAATACATTTTGGCCTAAATTTATAACTAACTTTTGAGTACTATATATTTTTTATAGCCGAAAGTAAAAAATATAATTTTTCTTCAAAATTTTCGGTCTTTTTTTTTTGTTTATAGCGCGAAAAATAAAACGCGCACAGGTGATCAAATACCACTGAAAGAAAGCTCTGTTTGTGTGAAATAAAAGGACGTAAATTTGTTTGGGTACAGCATTGCATGACCGCGCAATTATCAGTTGAATTAGTGCAGCACTGAGTAGCAAAAAGAAGCCTGGTCATTAAGGGGGGTAAATCTTCTGGAGGGCAAGTGGTTAAGGACCAATGAGCTGCAATATCCTTTATTTTTATTTTTAGTTTACTACCGCTTTAAACAGCACATATGCAGTATGAACAATGCAATGTGTACTTTTTTTATGGAACAAGTGAAAAACACATCTTTTATAGCAAGTGTGACAATCTTTGCTGTTAACAATGGATATTTAAAGGCAGTTTACCTTTTTGTGTTGTCCCTGACAGTTATTTTATACTGTATGGCGTTTAAGCACTGTTTCTTATGACAAAGGGCAGTTTATTAAAGCTGAACTCTAGATAGCTATAAAAACATGAATGAATGCAGCTCTGTGAATCATTCATTCATCATTACATGTTTTTTGTTTTTTTGTAATACATGCTTTTAAGTACCTGATATCAGCTTCTTGCAATCCCTTTACAGCAGAACTGGAGTGTGAAAGAAAGACGCAGTGCAAGGCGCCAATCAGGTCATGTACTGACAATGAGTATGCTGATAGGAAGAGAAAGCCACAAGATGAGCTCATCATTTTGTGCTTTTCCTTTCACTGTCCAGTCGAAGACTGGGGAGGGTCCAGCATAACCTGGGTGCAGAGAATGATGCTGTCCATCAGATGTTGGACATCTAGTGGCAGACAATGGTCCTACAGGTGACCGCTCTGGGTTAAAGGTGAATAGTGAAGTAAAAGCTGGTTTTATTTTAGGCTATTTATTTTTGTCTGGTAGTTCTGTTTTAACTCATAGCATCTATCTTTCATTTTTCTACAAATGGGTTTGTGGATTACATAAGAAGATGCATGTCTTTGCTTTTAGTGTTTTGTTACTGACCGTTATCATTACAGTTTCATTACAGGTGAGCTAGTGTTAGTGTTGCCTGTTAATATTATTTACAGGAAATTTATGGAGAAAAATGTTTCCATAAATTTGATGCATTTAAATGTTAATTATAATGCAGTATTTTGCTCGCTTGCATTCTGTCTTTTTATATATTGTCCTTTTTTCAATATATACACATGTATCTTTATGTATGTGTTTGAGCTTGCAGAATATTTGTCATGCGTAGTAAAACTGATTTATGTATTTCAGATTCACACTCAAGTGACGAGATTAAACAGGAACTCCTTACTAGCTAATGTGATAGCTGCGTACACAAGGTTATGTGCCCAGCCTCCTAAAGGTAGGTAGTCAATAGAGGCAAGGAGGTTTTAGTTTAATAGGCAGTTTTTATGAAGCATTGTCTAATTACTAGATTTTATAATACTTGTTCTCTGTAACTTTTATTTTTTTAATTTTAGGGATTTCGCCAGCACTAGCAATTTACGCAGCGGTTTACATATTGTACATTCACATCCATCCATCCATTCACATCCATCCCTGCCCTCAAGGAGCTTACAATCTAGGGTCCTTATTTCACATGGATAAATGCATGCGCACACACATACGAGGGCCAGTTTAGATAGCGGCCAATTACCTTCCACCATATTTTTGGAGGGTGGGAGGAAACCAAGGTATGCAGAGGAAAACCTATGCCCGCACAGGGAAATTATGCAACTAATATGCAGATACTTTCCTGGCCAGGACTCAGACTGAGAACCTCAGTGCTGTAAGGCAATAGTGCTAACCACTAAGTGACTGTGCCACAATATTTTCATTTTTTTTTCTGCTTTTTCCAGATATGTCCACAATATTTATTAACATTATTAATTTTAAAGCACTACTCAGGAACAATCACCAGCCAAATTATCCCCAGCTGAGCATAGCACTAAAATATATATACTTAAAGGAGAAGTACAACCAAAGCTCTTTTGGCTGTACTTCTCCTGTGGATCATAGGATTGCAGTTCGTTCTGCACTCGTGTGACCCGTTTTCAGCTGACAGCGGGCTGAAGCCCACTGTTGGCTGACGTCACTCATCTGGTCCAGCCGAAGAGGAGGGGCCAGGAGTACGAGCAGGGGGACCCCAGAAGAGGAGGATCGGGGTTGCTCTGTGCAAAACCATTACAGAGAGCAGGTAAGTATAGACATATTTGCTGTTTTTTATGAAAAAAATAAATAAAATTTAATATCACTTTAAAAACACACAGCTTGCTGGAACTAAAGCAGCATGGCTTCACTGAGTGGTGATCATGTCAGACTAATCTGATTTAATTTTTTTACTATCGCTAATGTTTTGGACACAGAGTGGTACTGTAGACAAAGCCTATCTTGATTTCAGTAAAGCAATTGATAAACATCCATGTAATGTTTTAATGAAAAAAAAACACTTAACCCTTGCGCCCTATGTAAGACCAGCTAAGACCTCCCCCCCCCAAAAACAAAACATAATTTTAAAACAGCTTGTAGTTTGAGTGATACGGGCCACAAATCTCCCCCAAATTACCCCTCCTAGCATACGCCCCCAAATGTCCCATTCTAGAACAAATCTTGCTCCCTGCCACCCCCTACATTCCCATTCCTAGCCCAAATCCCCTCAACACAATCCCACCTAGGAAACATTACGCCCTGTCCCCCTTCCTAGCACAAATCATTTTCCCCCATCCCCCCTCTCAGCACAAATCCCCTCCCTGTAATCACCCCTTCCCCTCTTACAGCACAAATCCCTCCCCAAATCACCCCACCTAGAAGAAATCTTACTCCCGTCACCCCCCAAATTCCCTCTCTTAGGACAAATCCTCCATCCTAGAACAAATCTTCTGGGAGTCCCCAAATCCCCCCCCCCCCATCTCTGGGCTCCTCCTCCCCAGCTTGCCGGCTGTCTCTGGGCTCCTCCTCCCCAGCTTGCCGGCTGTCTCTGGGCTCCTCCTCCCCAGCTTGCCGGCTGTCTCTGGGCTCCTCCTCCCCAGCTTGCCGGCTGTCTCTGGGCTCCTCCTCCCCAGCTTGCCGGCTGTCTCTGGGCTCCTCCTCCCCAGCTTGCCGGCTGTCTCTGGGCTCCTCCTCCCCAGCTTGCCGGCTGTCTCTGGGCTCCTCCTCCCCAGCTTGCCGGCTGTCTCTGGGCTCCTCCTCCCCAGCTTGCCGGGTACCAGGCGCAGGATTGCAGCACCAGGGACCTGCACTAGCTGTCGGATCAGGACTGTGAAGGGTTTGTTTACTCTAAACAAGAGATCCCTGTGCTCAAATCCATACAGCTAGTGCATGCATTTATCCATCAGGTGCTAAAGGGGTGTAACCACATTAACTCTAGAAATTCTGAAGGACCCTCTGCACACTGGTATATACCCTTTCAAGCAAACTGTGCAACAAATAGGGATATTTGGTTCACACATATTGCAATACATGTTTAAGCTGGCCAACTGCGTCAAAGTAATCCCTCTATGGCCAGTCCTACTCTGCCCTGCCTACACAAGTGCTACTGTGGACACAATGCTAGCATAGGGGAAAAGACACAATGGGGAGAGCTACAAGGTTCAGGTCTGGCTACTGACCCAACAATACAACAAACAAGAGATCCCTGTGCTCAAATCCATACAGCTAGTGCATGCATTTATCCATCAGGTGCTAAAGGGGTGTAACCACATTAACTCTAGAAATTCTGAAGGACCCTCTGCACACTGGTATATACCCTTTCAAGCAAACTATGCAACAAATAGGGATATTTGTTTACTCTGCCCCCTAACCCCATTATTTGCTAGGAGGGGTTGGGGGTGGGTAAACAAACCCTGCACAGTCCCATTCCTGACATTCTCAATCTGGAGCACTGCAGTGGCACGAGCGTGTAGCTGGAGGGCAAAAAGATCACAGCCTATTCCCAGTTCTCTCCTCCTTCTATAGATTTGGTCTTGCACTTTCTGCGCTAAGCTGACAGGAGTAGTGAAGTTGCTACTACTCTTGTCACCTTGTAGCATCAGGAGCCCGCATTGCTGCGTCTCCCTGTCCAGGCCTTCGACAGAGTACAATATTGGAGGTACAGTGCTGGCAATAGTACTAAGGAAAATGATTTGGGGTAATTATTTCAGATGACTGAAAAATAGGCAAATAGTATGGCCATGCAGTGGGAAAAGCAAATAGAAATCTAGGGTTCATCACTAGAGGGGTCACCAGCAGGAGGAAAGAGGACCTGTTTCCCTCATATAGATTATTTCGACCTCATTTAGAATGCTGTGGCCAGTTCTGGAGACCTCACTTACTAAATTATATTGAGAAGATAGGACAAGTCCAGAGATGGCAACAAAAATGGTGAAAGGTCTGGAGGCTAAAACATATCAGGAAAGACTTCAGAAACTTAATATACACAGCCTGGAGGAAAGACGGGAAAGGGGAGATGTGACTGAAACCCTTAAATACATTAATGAAGTTCAGGAGGGCAGTATTTTAATATGAGGCTAGGAAAGATCAAGACCTCAAACTAGAGGAACCTTCAAAACCAGAAAGTATAATGGTTAGAAAGTATTTTTAACAAAAGAGTAGTTGATTCTTGGAATAGACATCAGCAGGAATCTTGAGTTGGTTAACCGTAAAAACCGTAAGTAGATTAAAACATGCTCGGAACAAACATACACTATATTGCCAAAAGTATTGGGACACGTGCCTTTACACGCACATGAACTTTAATGGCATCCCAGTCCTAATCTGTAGGGTTCAATATTGAGTTGGCCCACCCTTTGCAGCTATAACAGCTTCAACTCTTCTGGGAAGACTGTCCACAAGGTTTAGGAGTGTGTCTATGGGAATGTTTGACCATTCTTTCAGAAGCACATTTGTGAGGTCAGGCACTGATGTCGGAGAGCAGGTCTGGCTCGCAGTCTCCGCTCTAATTCATCCCAAAGGTGTTCTATCAGGTTGAGGTTAGGACTCTGCAGGCCAGTCAATTTCCTCCACCCCAAACTCGCTCTTCCATGTGTTTATGGACCTTGCTTTGTGCACTAATGCACAGTCATGTTGGAACAGGAAGGGGCCAATACTCAAACTATTCGCACAAAGTTGGGAGAATGAAATTGTCCAAAATGCCTTGGTATGCTGACGCCTTAAGAGTTCCCTTCACTGGAACGAAGAGGCCAAGGCCAACCCCTGAAAAACAACCCCACACCACAATCCCCCTTCACCCCCATTTACACTTGGCACAATGCAGTCAGGCAAGTACCCTTCCTTTTGGCAACCGCAAAACCCAGACACATCCATCGGATTGTCAGACGGAGAAGCATGGCTTGTCACTCCAGAGAACATGTCTCCACTGCTTTAGAGTCCAGTGGCAGTGTGCTTTACAATGCTTTGCATTGCACTTGGTGATGTAAGCCTTGTATGCAGCTGCTCGGCCATGGAAAACTGATTCCATGAAGCTCTCTACACACTGTTGTGCTAATCTGAAGGCCACGCAAAGTTTGGAGGTTTTTAGCTATTGACATTGCATGCACTGACCCCACTCTGTCATTTTACATGGCCTACCACTTCGTGGCTGAGTTGCTGTTGTTCCCAGTTGCTTCCACTTTGTTTTAATACCACTAATAGTTGACCGTGGAATATTTAGTAGCAAGGAAATTTCATAGATGGACTTACTGCACAGGTGGCAACCTATCACGGTATCATGCTCGAATTCACTGAGCTCCTGAGAGCGACCCATTCTTTCACAAATGTTTGTAGAAGCAGTCTGCATGCCTAGGTGCTTGAATGTTTACACCTGTGGACATGGAGGTGATTGGAACACCTGAATCCAATGATTTGTCCCAATACTTTTGGCAATATAGTGTAGATCTATATTCAGACAAAAACCATAAATAATGCTACATTCCAAGGTTATCAGAGGCTTTCGTGAGCAGAGAGTGACAGTGTAGGGAATCCGTTATTTTGATGTAATTTGGGATTGCGTGCCAGTCAGTGCTCTGGTCCTCTTCTCTTAAAGGATAAGTTCACCTTTTGGACAAAAATAATAAATGCATGTTTTGTTTTTTGTTTTTTTTTTTTGCAGGTAAGAAAAATATGCATTTATTATTTTTGTACAAAGGAGCCTGGAAAGCAATGCACCTGCGATCAGTAGATCGCGGATGCTATGCGGGTCTCCTACAGACCGGTTAAAATATCTGCCTGCCGTACAGGATGTACAAGCAAGCAGATATTCTGTCAGGAAACCGCTAAGACTGTCGGGACTTGCAGTACATTCATTCACGAAAGTCTGTGAATGAATGACGTGGCCACGTAAGTGGAGCCCCGCATGGCCGTGCTGTTTTCAAATCTGACACATAGTATGCGGAAACTTCTCCCCCGTATTATCTGTCAGAGGGAGGAAGGTTTTGGGTACTATAGGAGAAACATGTAACATGTTCCCAAAGGAGAGCTTATCCTTTAACCTCTTCATGCCGAGCGGCCCGCACATTTGCGCGCAATTAACAAAAAAAATATGTGCTGAGAGTGCGCACCCTGTGCGCTCCCAGCACACATGTCCGGTACTCATGGAAAGGTCCCGGTCTGCTCTTTCGATCGGGACCTTTCCCGATCATGTGACCGCTGTGATGACGCATCACGGCGGTCACATGATCCCTAAACCCCGCCTGTCCTGCCTCCTGGCTTCTGAAACTCTTAAAGGGCCGGGAGGCGCCAGCAGGAAAGGGTTAAGCACAAGAATGTGGCTGGCCACTTCTGCGTTGTCATGTACAGTGCAGGATGACCATTGCGTTCTATTTGATGACATTGAGAGGAGCAGCAGCAAGACTGAAGACCAAGAAAAAGCAGCTTTTGGGGGCCCGTTTTTATTACAACTGGAACTGATGGGGAGCAAAACCACATTACGCAGGTTTAAGGTTAGCAATACCTTGTGTTATATCATCTCTTAGAGAAAAAAAAAGTTGTGAATCTCATATCAGTTGGGGTCATTTTAATAATGTTAGTGAATTTCTAAAGATAGGCTTTAGAAATTGAAACTTTATCAACTTGCTTTTGCTTAAAACTGAAAAATCTTTTTAATATGTTTCCTAAATGCTTATTTTATACATTTGTTGCATTAGCTATTCAATCCTTTCACTTTGATAACTCATCTGAAATGTACTTTGCTGTTCTAGGCTAAAACTGTTGGGTGCATTTATATTGTTGCACATTTTAATGATATAAATAGTTGAAATATAAAATTGAATGCCCACTTTAAACAACATGTGTTAATTTTTCAGGTTTTGAAAAATATTTTCCAAATAAGAAAATTGGCAAGGAAGCAAATGATTCCAAAGTGGAGCTGAAAGGTAAAATTGTTGCCTAAAAATAATGCATGAACTAGGTTTTATAAATATAGTGGGAGCTTTCATTTCATAAGCCGGCCTCTTTAATACAAAAAAATTAGGTATATAATTAAAAAAATCATCTTCCTCCAGGCTTGCAAACAACTGTGGCTGGTGGAGACACTTGTTATCAAAAATTGTATGCACAGCATTCCTAAAGCAGAACTCTAGGCAAACTGCAAAATATATGTGAGCTATTTTTGCCTGCCAAAAGTTTTTAATTTAGTTTGCCCAGTCATCTGTACCAGACAGCATAGCCAGATTGATGACATCACTTTTCTTTACTGTAGTTAATTGATACTGGTTGTTCAAGGTACAGCAGCACATTGATGAGATCATCCTCCTTATCCTTTATGTTTAATTATGTTGATAGTGTTGGGCCTTTAGGGTTCATTGACATTATTGAGCATATGTTTTGCATTTGCATAACATAATCCCTGCATGAAAACGCAACAAGTCCTTTTATATCATCAAAATAGCACAAACATAGCATGTTGGCATGTACTGAAACATAGGGGATAAGTCAAATTGCCTTGTTCTCGTGTTGGGATTATGTTTGATGCAAACAAGCCTTTAATAATGTTTTCTTAAATAATACATTTATCCCCAGTTGTCTTCCAGGACAGCCCGTGAGAGATGGAACTACTCCCAACAGGACAGGAAAAAAAAAAAAAAATTTATAATCCTATACCCACAGTTGATCCAGAGGAAGGCAAAAAAACTCAGCAAAGCATGATCCAATTTGCTCCTGCAGGGGAAAAAATGCCTTCCTGATCCTCCGAGAGGCGATTGGATATTCCCTGGATCAATTTTAACTATAAATGTTGGTATCCAGTTATATTCTGTGTATATAAGAGAGAATCCAGGCATTTTTTTTAAAGCAATCTACTGAGCTGGCCAGAACCAACTCTTGAGGGAGTCTATTCCACATTTTCACAGCTCTCACTGTGAAAAAACCTTTGTGTTTGGAGATGAAATTTCTTTTCTTCCAGACGTAAAGAGTGCCCCCCCTTGTCCTCTGTGATGACCTCAGGGTGAATAGCTCTACACACGAGTTCACTACATGAACCACTGATGTATTTATACAGGTTGATCATATCCCCCCTTAATCTCCTCTTCTCAAGAGAGAATAAATGAATTGCCCAAAGAGTTCAAAAGGTGGTCCTTCAGACACATGGTCTTTTTTTTTTTTTTTTTTGTTTGTGTCCTCCATCCAGAGTAGAGGTGTTGGGAGCTCGATTGCAACCTAACTGCGCCTGGAGACCCCGCGCAACATTGTGGGGGGAGAGGATGTTCCTTCCTTTGGTTGGTTTGGGTCCTGCTTGACCGGGAGACACCAGTCATCATTTGTGGCAGTGGTTTGGTCATCATTGAGCGCTAGAGGCTTCAGTTTTGACCTCCAGGGAGGTCAGGGAGGACAGGAGCAGTCGGGAGATCAAGGAGGCTTCCTCCCAGATGCAAGCTCTGGGCAATGCAGGTGCCAGCAGTATATAGGTAGGCATTTGGATTGGGCACTGCTTTTCCCTATGTTTTCTGGGTGGAGATTATTACATCAGTTGTGTGTCTGGGTCTCGGCTGACTATGCACTGTTTGGTGGCTTGCCCTGGGCTAGTGTCTGGTGGTTTGCTTTGGGAGCCAGGAGCCTTAGTATTTTTTCCCACTGTTGATTTTTCAGATTAAATACCCAGTCAAAGAGAAGCAGCTTGTCCCTAGGAGGAAGGACTGCTGGTTGTTCTGCTACGCTAGGCTCTAAGTATTCTAAACCTCTTTGTAATTTTTACATTGAAGGTTTACTTAAAGCGGAAACTCCACATAAAAGGGGAAGTTCTGCTTGTTTGTCCCCCCCACACCCCCCTCACTAAATGTTTTGACAGGTACCTGCTCCCACTTCTGGGTCAGATTTCTGTGGCGATCTCAATCAAAAGTTCGCCCCCAACCCTGCAGCTTTCTGGGACACTTCACATGTCCCAAAAGACTACAGCCCACTCATAAAGCACATTGCACATGCGCAGTAGGAAACCGGCTGTGAAGCTGCAAGGCTTCACTTCTGGTTTCCTTTACTTAAGATGCCAACAGCAGCACCTGAAGCCAATTGAAGAATCTGCTCAGCTGAGGACACTGCTGGACCCCTGGACAGGTAATTGTCCTTATATTAAAAGTCAGCAGCTACAGTGTTTGTAGTTGCTGGCTTTTAATTTATTTGGGGGGGAGCACTGAGCTCCGCTTTAAAGAGGAATCAGCTTCTGTGTTTTCCGAGAGGAGATGGCTTCCACTTTTCACACATTTTGCTTCCTTCTTATGGAGATGCAGGGCTCATCTAAACCAGCCCATCATTCTGCCACAGTGCTTAGCTTCCCAGTCTCATTTCCGTCTGGATTAGGCAAAGAGTCTCTTGGGAAAGAGGTCAGCTTTGATGAGTGGTGCTGACCGTTCCCTCTCAGATTGTGCTAGTGTGTCCTCAACTTTACGCCCCTCTCTAAAGTCTCCAAAAATCAGATCTTGCCTTTGACGATATGGGTCAGCTCAAAGCTTGTATATAGGTAAAAGAGGGTATATTCTCATCTATAATCTGGAATGCATTTGTTCAAGTATATCCTTTATAAGAACTATTTCAGTGGAGATCTAATGTTTTCTTGTTCAAATATGTGGGGAAAAAAAAAAAATCAGTTTCCATTGGGTGTACTTACTTTCTTAACATGACCATATAAAGAGTGGATAAGTGAGCAATTGTTACTAGTATGGTATGTTTATGTTTTGTTACATGCAAATCTTTATTTTTTGTTTCTTTAATCCCTCTGTGAAGATACTAAAGGTAATGAAAAGCATTCCTCTGGTGGAAGTGGTGACTCTGGAGGAGGTGACAAAAAAGGTGGGAAGAAAGATAAAGATTGGTGGACAAGGATGAGTAAGGTGACTTTCCCTTCTTTTGGCTTTAATTGTGGCTTTATTTTTGCTATTTTGTTGTAAGACAACAAACAAGCAAAAAAAAAAAACAACCTAGTACAGGGACAAAGTAGGATGATATCTTACATTTTTGATGATGGATGTAAACATCTGTAAATCCTCATTTGTCCCAAGTTGCATTGTTGCTGGACTTTATCAATTGAGCACTCATATTGTATACAATAATGGCACGCCTACATATAAATTTTGTTTTACTGACAATTTTTCTAAATATATCAGCTTAGCGTGTTTTGGATCTCTTGATATTTTAATTTGCAGGGGGACATTCCTTGGGATGATCCTAAGTTCCGAACCTTCTTACTGAGCTTAACAGGCATTTGGACTGCTATTGTTTACTTCACCTTCCATAAGAAGACGCAAGTAGAGATCACATGGAAAGACTTTATTAACAACTACCTGTCGGAAGGCCTGGTAAGTAGGAAAAGTGTTCTGACTGTGTATCTGAAGGAATTGCATTTTTACCAATAAAGCAGTGATAAACCCAAAACAAAAAATGTAATATATTGCAGCTTACCAGTCTTTGGATATGGTGGCTGCATTATTTTTTTTTTTGTAGGCTTCTTCCCTCTTTTTCATCTGGTGACCTGGCCAGTAACACACTTCATGTATTTGACTGCCACCACTCAGGATGAATGAGCACAGGGCACTGAAGATAGTAACATTGTCAATCTGGGGGGAGGGGAGTGTTTAAATGTACTAGCAGATTTAAATACACTAACAACCCAGCTCCAGCTCACACTTTATAATCCATTACATGTTTTTTTCCTTTTTGGGATAAAAGTTTTAAAAGAATAAATAAAAGCTGATCATTGTAAGCACCCTTGCCAGTGCTAACCACCTCCTGCACGGCATATTATAATAATAATACGGTTGGTTGGGAGTGCCATTATCCCAGACGGACATAATATGACCCCCCCCTTTTGCGCACATCATAGTGCGATCTGTCACCCACTGTGTCCACTGGACACAGTGGAAGACAGATCTTTGTACCATGTAATCACTTTAATTCATAGCCATTCATTGTGTACTATTGTAATCCATGTGATTGGTCACAGTGATCGCATTGTTCAGGGACAAATCACAGTAGACCTGTACCATGTGATAGCAGTGTCCAATCACAGCTATCACAATAGTACACAATGGCACATGAATTAATGCCATTCATAAAATGATTGCTTAGAACAGTGATCATCACTGTAATAGGCAATCCACAGTGTAAAAAAAAAATCTTGATAACCTCCCCAGAGCAGTAGAGTGTCACTATGGTAAAATACTACCATAATACAATAATCAATGTTATTAAATAAAAAAAAATGTAAATAATGAAATTATTTTTTTTAATACTGTCATCAATCACTGTTTCCCTGATCAACACCACACTAGTTATATTATGATGATGTACAGCTCAAATGACAGTATGAAAAAAAAAATTGTTAAACAAAAAAAAATTGTTTTATTTAATTTCCAAAAAAAGTGACAAAAATTACAACTCCAAAAAGCTTGCCATTCCTTTTACCTTGGACTGTCTGATTTTCAAAAAGGAGTCATTTGGGAGACATTTTAGGACCTCAGGAAATGAGAGAGGCAGTCAGTATGTCAGGATTAATCCATTTTAAAATAAATATATATATATATATCTCAATCATAAAAATAATATATACTGATCTGGGCTTTTTTTTTTTAGCGGAATACATTTTGGCCAAAATGTATGAAGATTGATTGAGTTCTTTTATTTCAAAATTTTATAGCCAAAACTAAGAAGAACATGTTTCTAAATTTTTAGTGTATTCTTGTTTATGTAGGAAAAAAATACACAAAAAACCCAGTGGTGATTACATACCACCAAAAGAAAACTCTATTTGTCTTTAAAAAAAAATGATAAAAATTTAATTTGGGTACAGTGTTGCATGACTGAGTACTTGTCATTCAAAGTGTGATAGCACTGAAAGCTGAAAATTGGCCTGGACAGGAAGGGGGTAAAAGTGTCCGGACTGGAAGTGGTTAACCACTTGCCCTCCTGAGGATTTACCCCCCTGCTTGACCAGGCCATTTTTTGCGTTACGGCGCTGCGTTACTTTAACTGACAATTGCGCGGTCATGCAACATTGCACCCAAATGAAATTTACATCCATTTTTCTTGAATTGAGCTTTCTTTCAGTGGTATTTGATCACCTGTGTGGTGGTTTTTTTTTTTTTTTTTCGCAAAAAAAAAAAACAATTTGGAGAAAAAAAACTATATTTTTGACTTTTTGCTATTAAACATGTTCAGTAGAAAAAAAAAAATGTTAAAAATCAAATTTCGTCATAAATTTATGCCAAAATGTATTCTGCGACATGTCTTTGCTAAATAAAAATTGCAATACTTGTAAATTAATTGGTTTACGTTAAAGTTATAGTGTCTACAAATGGCAATATATATACTGGGATTTTTTTTTTTTTTTTTTTACTAGTGATGGTGGCGATCAGTGACTTGCAGCAGACATTCTGACACTGGGGGAACTGACTTGGAGTCACTGACTTCCCCAATGACACCAATACAGTGATCAGTGCTAAATTAAAAACTGCTCTGGATGATTGTGCTGTGTACAGCCGTTCAGAGCAGTGTGCCCGAGCTGACAGAGAGGAGTACTGTTAGTAAACAAAATAGTTCTCCCCGTTGGTGATCATCGGAAATCACCGAGCACAGGCGAGTAATTATCATTCGGGACCTGGTGATTGACAGCCGCGAATGGAAATGCAAAATCACGTATGTGTGTGTATATGTAAATATGTATATGTGTGTGTGTATATGTAAATATGTATATGTGTGTGTGTATATATATATATATATATATATATATATATATATATATATATATATATATATATATGTGTGTATATATATGTATGTATGTGTATATATATGTATGTGTATATATATATTGTGGGGTTAGCTCAGGTGGGGGATCTCCTTCCCTGGGACAAAGGTAGACCGCACAGCAGGCTTTCGTCAAAATCTGACTGGTTGTCAGTTTTATTAAAAGGTTTGCAAGAAATATCAAAGTAAAACAAAACATCAAAAATAAACCCTTGCCATCCAGGCACTAACTAAACAGAAGATGATTCCTCTCTCAGAGGTGAAGGGCTTCTCCCTGTCACCAAAACAAAATAACAGCAAACCTTTTCTTGTAGGTATAGTCCATACACACAGCTCTCTCAGAATACCTCTCTGAGTCCCAGGCCACGAGCAACTCCTTGCTCCAGCTCTGCCCTTTTTGTATCACCTGCTGGTGGTCATCAGTGGAGCCCAAACTCTGGTCCGGAACCACCTCTGCCATTGTGGCCCCGAAAACCCGGAGTGGACTCCACCTTACACCTCACAGTATGATCTCATGCGAGGTGACACATACCGTCCATCCATCAGTTTGCCGTTCATACTGTCACATATCCCCCCCTCTGCTCAAGGCCCTGCGGCTGAGCAACTGTCCCAACCAGGCAATGGACCCGGGAAAGGGCATCTACATTACTTTGCAGTTTCCCCGCTCTGTGTTCCACTGTGAATTTGAACACTTGTAGCGCGAGAAACCACCTTGTCACTCGACTGTTTTTCTCCTTATTATCACACATCCATTTGAGCAGGGCATGATCAGTAACCAACTTGAACGGTCTTCCTAACAGGTAATATTTCAGGGCCTCCAAGGCCCATTTGATGGCCAAACATTCCTTCTCCACAATGGCATAATTTCTCTCATGTTTGTTGAGCTTTCTACTTAGGAAGACCACAGGGTGCTCCTCCCCATCTCTGATTTGGGACAGTACCGCCCCTAGTCCCACGTCAGAGGCATCAGTCTGTACCACAAACTCTGTTGTGAAATCTGGCGTCACAAGCACAGGTTGAGCACAGAGAGCTTGTTTTAGCCTTTGAAATGCGGTCTCCACCTCGGGATTCCACTTAATCATGACCGACCCCCTACCTTTTGTCAGATCTGTCAGTGGGGCTGCAATGGTGGCAATATTGGGGATAAACCACCTGTAGTATCCTGTGATCCCAAGAAATGCCCGGACTTGCTTTTTATTTACAGGTTGGGGCCACTTTTGAATCGCCTCAATTTTATTGATCTGAGGCCTAATGAGACCTCGACCAATGATGTAGCCAAGATATTTGGCCTCCTCTAAGCCTATGGCACACTTTCTGGGGTTGGCGGTAAGACCTGCTTCCCTCAGCGAATCTACTACTACCGCTTGCAGGCAGGACAAATGAGACTCCCAGTCTGGACTGTGGATGACGACATCGTCCAAATAGGCAGCTGCATATTGGCGATGTGGTCTTAACGTTTTGTCCATCATTCGTTGGAATGATGCCGGAGCACCATGTAGACCAAACGGCATCCGCTTATACTGAAAGGACCCCTCGGGGGTAGAGAATGCCGTCTTTTCTTTTGCAGCTTCCGTTAAAGGAATCTGCCAATAGCCTTTGGTTAAATCTAAGGTGGTTATGTACCGAGCCGTTCCCAACCTGTCAATGAGCTCATCCACCCGAGGCATCGGGTACGCATCAAACTTAGACACACTGTTCAGTTTCCTGAAATCATTACAGAAACGAATTGTTCCATCTGGTTTTGGGACCAACACTATGAGACTCGACCACTCACTGTGAGATTCCTCAATCACTCCCAACTCTAACATGTCCTTTATTTCCTTTGCCATCGCTTCCCGCCTGGCCTCGGGTATTCTATAGGGCTTGACATTTACGCAGACCCCGGGCTGGGTAACTATGTCATGCTGTATGACCGTCGTCAGTCCAGGTAGGTGAGAGAAGAAATCTCCATTTTTCCTCACAAACTCCTTAACATCATTTTGTTGGGCTACTGACAAGGTTTCCGTTATAGGTACCTGAGGGGCCACGGGAATCACGTCCTTTTGGGGGCTTGGTACTGCCAACAAACTTTCCCTGTCTTTCCAAGGTTTTAAGAGATTAACATGATAGATTTGTTCGGGTTTCCTTTTCCCTGGCTGGTAAACTTTATAATTTACTTCCCCCTTTCTCCCTAATTTCAAAGGGACCTTGCCACTTGGCGAGGAATTTACTTTCCACGGTGGGGACTAGCACCAGCACTCTATCCCCAGGGTTGAAGGTACGAATCCTGGCACCCCGGTTATAAACCCTTCTCTGGACCTCCTGGGCTTGCTCCATGTGTTCCCGAACAAGTGGCATGACAGCTGCGATTCTATCCTGCATCTGTGAGATATGCTCGATGACACTTCTATAGGGCGTGGACTCTGTCTCCCAGGTTTCTTTTGCAACATCTAGCAATCCCCTGGGATGTCTACCATACAGTAATTCAAAAGGTGAATATCCTGTAGATGCCTGAGGTACTTCCCGTATAGCAAACATGAGATATGGTAGCAAAAAATCCCAATTTCTCCCATCTTTGTCCACCACCTTTTTTAACATATTCTTAAGGGTCTTGTTAAACCTTTCCACAAGCCCATCGGTTTGGGGGTGGTAGACCGAGGTACGGAGATGGGAGATTTTGAACAGTTTGCATAACTCTTTCATAACTCTAGACATAAATGGCGTGCCCTGATCCGTTAATATCTCCTTTGGAATACCTACACGACTAAACACCCGGACAAGCTCTTTGGCGATATTTTTAGCTGAGGTATTACGCAAGGGGATGGCTTCAGGATACCGGGTGGCATAGTCAAGTATCACCAGTATGTGCTGATGGCCCCGGGCAGACTTTACTACTGGACCCACTAGGTCCATTCCCACTCTTTCAAACGGTACTTCAATTATGGGTAGAGGTACTAGCGGACTATGAAAATGGGGTGAGGGCGCAGAATATATTGACATTCCGGGCATGACTCACAATGCGCTTTGACGTCTCCATGTAAGCCTGGCCAAAAGAATCTCTGGGTTATTCTCTCCTTTGTTTTCTCTACACCCAGGTGTCCACCCATTATATGCCCATGGGCTAAATCTAGTACCATCCGGCGAAAGGGTTTGGGGACCACTAACTGTTCTACCACCCTCCTCCCCTTGCTTTACCACTTGATACAGCAAGTTATTGTTAAGAGCCATGTAGGGAAAAGACACCGCTACATCATTTTCAACTGGTTCCCCATCAATCATTTTAATGTTTTCACGGGCTCTATTAAGTGTGGAATCTTTCAGTTGTTCCGTACAAAAATCCTCTTTTCTGACCTCTAGGTCAGGCACCACATTCTGTCCACTCTCACTAGAGCCAGCGATCATCTCTTGTTCTATATCCTCAATGTCTGGGGTTGGATCCAACTCCTCCTGCTCCCCAGCCATTACAGAAAAAGGAAAAAGGTCTACACCTTCCTTGGACACACCCACAGTTTCCCCTTCCACCTTGCCGTCAAAGGGGTCAGGAGTGAGTTCAGGAGTTTCTGGTGTTTCCCCAGCAGGGGGAGCTCGGTCTTCCTGACTCCCCTCCTTATCCCATAACTTCCAGAAATGGGGAAAATCTCTCCCCACTATGGCTTCATGAAGGAGAGAGGGCACCACCCCACAGAATGGGTCACAGGGCCCCAGGGAGTACCAATCTCCACCAGAGCAGTCTGGTAATTACGTGTATCACCATGAATACAAATAACTCCAATCATGCTAGAGTGTAGGCTGGCAGGGTTTACCAAATCGCTTTTAACCAAGGTCACAACACTACCCGAGTCTAGCAGAGCAGTTACTGGCTTTTCATCAATGGCAATCACACACATTTGCTTTTCCATGCGTTTCTGACATGCTGCAGTACATACCACCTGTGCAAAAAGAGACATGCGTTTTCCTAAATAAGCATTTTCACATTGCATAGGTTCATCATTGAAAGGACAGTTTGCAGCAATATGACCTAACGCATGACAACGATAACATATTATATGTTCAGTGCTTAGACCTCTAAATGGCTTTGGGGACCTTCCTGACCTATTTGGCCAGTCTCTAGGTCCTAAGCCTACAGTCTCATTATCTGACACAATAGTCTTATCATTTTTTCCTGAGCCTTTGGCCCATGGAACAGTCTTACCGGATCTTCCGGATAGTTTTCCACCCCTAGTGACATTGGGGTACGGCCCAGGTGAATGAAAAAAGTCCTCAGCGGCTGCATATCTCTCCACCAGGTCCACCAGCTCGTTTGCAGATTTAGGGTCTCCACGGCCGACCCACTTCCTCAAAGTGGCAGGGAGTGCACGCAAATATTGGTCCATGACCACACGCTCCACAATCTGAGGGCCTGACAATACCTCTGGCTGGAGCCATTTTTTGGAGAGATGTATCAAATCGAACATCTGAGATCTGGGTGGTTTGTCTGCCCTGTAATGCCACTGATGCACCCGCTGAGCCCCGGACTGCAATGGTGACGCCCAGGCGTGCAAGGACCTCAGCCTTCAGTTTCTCATAGTCCTGGGCATCCCTGGTTCCAGGTCATAATAGGCTTTTTGGGATTCACCTGTCAAAAATGGCGCAAGCAGTCCTGCCCATTGCTCCTTTTTCCATCCTTCCCGAACAGCAACCCTTTCAAAAGTTGTGAGGTAGGCCTCCACATCATCCGCAGGTGTCATCTTCTGCAAAACATAACTGGCCCGCGCCATTTTCTGCTCCCCTGGCAGCGGATCTGCAGATTCCTTCTTTAATTCTAACAGGGTGTTGGGCCACCTGCTTAAGGAGCTCTCGGTCTGCTTGTTGGGCTTCATGTTGTGCCTGTTGGGCCTCATGTTGTGCCTTTTGGGCCTCATGTTGTGCCTGTTGGGCCTCCGCAAACTGGCGATTTGTCTCCCGTTGTACTGCATTGGCCTGCAGTAAGGCTCCTATTATTTCCTCCATCTTCCCACTTGCTCAGGAAGTTGCCCGCATCCTCCACCATATGTGGGGTTAGCTCAGGTGGGGGATCTCCTTCCCTGGGACAAAGGTAGACCGCACAGCAGGCTTTCGTCAAAATCTGACTGGTTGTCAGTTTTATTAAAAGGTTTGCAAGAAATATCAAAGTAAAACAAAACATCAAAAATAAACCCTTGCCATCCAGGCACTAACTAAACAGAAGATGATTCCTCTCTCAGAGGTGAAGGGCTTCTCCCTGTCACCAAAACAAAATAACAGCAAACCTTTTCTTGTAGGTATAGTCCATACACACAGCTCTCTCAGAATACCTCTCTGAGTCCCAGGCCACGAGCAACTCCTTGCTCCAGCTCTGCCCTTTTTGTATCACCTGCTGGTGGTCATCAGTGGAGCCCAAACTCTGATCCGGAACCACCTCTGCCATTGTGGCCCCGAAAACCCGGAGTGGACTCCACCTTACACCTCACAGTATGATCTCATGCGAGGTGACACATACCGTCCATCCATCAGTTTGCCGTTCATACTGTCACAATATATATATGTGTGTGTGTGTGCGCGCGTGTGTGATTTTGCGCACACCCGTGCCGCCCTGTAGCAGTATTTCTGCTATAGGGCGGTTGGGAAGCGGTTAATTATCAAAAGTGGAGTTACTTTTTAAATGCTTACCTGGTGGCAGAGCATGGAAGGTGAGGTTACTTGGTGAGTTTAGGTCTACTCTAATAGCTTCATAACTGAAACAAGGGCAATTTCTACCTTCACCATCTGCATCCTTCATAAAAACTTAAATTGGTAGTAAACTCTTTTTTTTAACTTTTACTTTCTGGTAAGCTTATAATAAAGCTTATCTGTAGGTAAAATGAATATCCCCTAAACGTGCGTTTAGAAGATATTCGCTTTTTTTTAGACTGGCGCATGCGCTCTGAAGGAACAGCATGTCTATGCCGTTTCTTCAGAGTACTGTGCCCTGGCTTGGCACTCCCGCGCACATGCTTGCAAACCCGGGAAGAAGACCCGGTGAAGATGGAAGCCTCTGCAGCAGTGACAGCGTGCCACTGAAGCGCTTTGTTTTAAGGTAAGTATTTCATAATGTTCTAGTATGCGATGCATACTAGTACATTATGACATTACCTTGCAGGGATTTTTTTTCCTGTGGTTTACTACTGCTTTAACTTGTGTAGTATTAATCACAGATGGGTTTCTCTCTATCATCTGTAAACCAGGTCCATGTGATGACACCTGTTCTCTGGTCCTTCTTTGGTGGTATTCCATACAATATTCCTATCAGTTACTGGTTGTGCACGAATGCAATTTTATGATATGTATGCCTTCTATTGTTCATAGGTGGATCGACTGCAAGTAGTGAATAAGCGCTATGTACGGGTTATCCTTACATCTTACAAGACACATTGGGATGGGGTAATGTTACTTTTTTATGTTATTGTGTAAATTAATTTATTTGAAGCAGAGTATTTATATTTCTATTGCTGGCATTATCAGTGTTTCAATGAAGGTATTGGGGCAGCATATCCTCACTTACATTTTCAGAAGTTCAGCTCAGGAGAGACAGACTTGCAGGGAAGTCACACATCTCACTTCTCATAGAGGTGTGTATACTAGAATGTGGATATCACTGCTGGCAGAATAATGGGACTCTTTCCTGTATCCATGCCACCAGTGAGACCTGCCCCCCCAGCACACATACGTCACTTACAGTACCTATCTGTGCTGCCAGTGAGATCTGCACTCTAGCGCACATATCTCACTTCTTAAACACTTCACTTCTTGTGCTGACAATGAGATTTGCATATCAGTCCACACAATGCACTTCCTAGTATCTATGCCACTACTGACATCAGCACTCTAGCACACTTTCCTCATTATACAATATCGATATCATCGGTGAGATCTGCACTCCAGCATGCAAACCTCACTTCCAGTTTCCATGGCGAAAATAGGATCTGCACTCCAACACGTACAGTGCATCCAGAAAATATTCACAGCGCTTAACTTTTGCCACATTTTGTTATGTTACAGCCTTATTTTAAAATGGATTAAATTTATTTTTTTCCCTCAACATTCTACAAACGATACCCCATAATGACAACATGAAAGTTCGTTTTGAAATCTTTGCAATTTATTAAAAATAAAAAATGAAAAAACCCACATGTACTGTGCATTAAGTATTCACAGCCTTTGCCATGACACTCAAAATTGAGCTCTGGTGCATCCTGTTCCCCCTGATCATCCTTGAGATGTTTCCACAACTTGATTTGGAGTCCACCTGTGGGAAATTCAGTTGTTTGGACACGATTAGGAAATGCATAAACCTGTCTATATAAGGTCCCACAGTTAACAGTGCATGTCAGAGCACAAACCAAGCTATGAAGTCCAAGGAATTGTCTGTAGACCTCCGAGACAGGATTGTATCAAGGCACAGATCTGGGGAAGGGTGCAGAAAAATTTCTGCAGCATTGATTGTCCCCTTGAGCACAGTGGCCTCCATTATCCGTAAATGGAAGAAGTTTGGAACCACCAGGAATCTTCCTAAAGTGGCCAGCCAGTCAAAATGAGCAATTGAGGGAGAAGGGCCTTAGCCAGGGAGGTAACTAAGCAGCCGATGGTCACTCTGAAAGAGCTCCAGCGTTTCTCTGTGGAGAGAGGAGCACCTTCCAGAAGAACAATTATCTCTACCATACAGGCCTGATTGGTGCAGTGCGGCAGAGTGGCCAGATGGAAGCCACTCCTCAGTAAGAGGCAAATGCCAGCCCGCCTGGAGTTTGCCAAAAGGCACCTGAGGACTCTGAGACCATGAGAAACAAAAAACTCTCTGGTCTGATGAAACAAAGATTGAACTCTTTGGCCTGAATGCCAAGCGTCATGTCTGGAGGAAACCAGGCACCACTCACCACCTGGCCAATACCATCCTTTCAGTGAAGCATGGTGGTGGCAGCATCATGCTGTGGGGATGTTTTTCAGCGGCAGGAACTGGGAGACTAGTCAGGATCGACGGAAAGATGAATGCAGGAATATACAGAGACATCCTTGATGAAAACCTGTTCCAGAGCGCTATGGACCTTAGACTGGAGCGACGGTTCATCTTTCAACAGGACAATGACCCTAAGCACACAGCCCTCATAACAAAGGAGTGGCTACGGGCCAACTCTGTAAATGTCCTGAAGTGGCCCAGCCAGAGCCCAGACTTGAGCCCGATTGAACATCTCTGGAGAGATCTGAAAATGGCTGTGCAGCGATGCTCCCCATCCAACCTGATGGAGCTTGAGAGGTACTGCAAAGAAGAATAGGAGAGATTGCCCAAAAATAGGTGTGCCAAGCTTGTAGCATCCTACTCAAAATGACTTGAGGCTGTAATTGGTGCTAAAGGTGCTTCAACAATGTATTGAGCAAAGGCTGTGAATACTTATGTACATGTGGGTTTTTTTTGTTTTTTTATTTTTAATAAATTGCAAAAATTTCAAAACGACCGTCTTTCACGGTTTCATTTTGGGGTATTGTTTGTAGAATGTTGAGGGGAAAAAAATTAATTTAATCCATTTTGGAATAAGGTTGTAACATAAAATGTGGCAAAAGTTAAGCACTGTGAATACTTTCTGAATGTACTGTATGCCTCACTCCCCAATATCTATGCTGCTAGTAAGAACTCCTACACATTAACTGATTTCTTTCTCTGCACCAGCTTGTGATTTCACTGGGAAGCACCCTTGCATGAGTTGCTGAGTTTGCTCCCCCCTCCTCTCCTCTTTCCTGTATCGCCCTTTTAATGTTAGCTTGCAGATCCTGCAATGAATACATGGAGCTATCATTCTAATTTAGATTGTTGGGGGAAATATTACTTTGTCCTATAAAAGCTAATGATGTGTCTTTTATAAAAGCTGTTTTGTTGACTAGAAAATCACTCTATAGAAACATTTTAAAGGCTTAGTTCACCTTTACCAAAAACTGCCTATGCAAGTAAGAGCTGTAGATAAAAAACAAACTGCGGCTTTGACTAAAGTAGAATAGTGCCCCTTCTATAGGCCTAGAATGTTTTTGGATTTCCCAAAGCCTGGCTTAAAAAAAAGATTGTATTATCCCCATCCTGACTTGTTGCTAGAATGTCGCTAAGAGACCCCCAGCTGATCCTGTTCACCTCCACCATCACAGAAGGCTTCAGTCAAGCTTTGGGAGGTACATAAATGGCCTACACCTATAGCATGTGCATTATCCAACTTTGGTCTAAACTACTCAATTTTTTATTTACAGACACCCTTTACCTGCATAAGCAGTTTTTTGATAAAGGTAAACTATGCCTTTAAGTCTAGCAAGGTCCATTCTGTTAGAATTAAAGTGGTACAATATGTTCAGTTGGTCATATGTGGTACTTTTGTTTTTCGTTTCTTTTTATAGAATACTGTCTGGTTCAATATTGGCAGTGTGGACTCTTTTGAGAGGAATTTGGAAACCGTACAGCAAGAGCTTGGAATAGAACCAGGGAAGAGAGTACCTGTGGTATACAAAATTGAGTATGATGGGTAAGCTTAAAGTCTAGTTTTATGCTGCTTTTCATTTTCTGTTTTTCTGTTTTCAAAATGAATATATGTCCTCAAGATTACCCCCCTGCCACTTCTCCTGATTGACGGGCATTCCTACTCAGGAGTCCCACTTACTGGGGAAATACTTTCCTATTTGGTACCCCGACATAAAATTTGCAATCCACCAAATAAAGTCTGAGATTCTTTTGTAGCTTGAGCAAAGCATATATACACTTTAGCTCTGTACAGTCCTGTGTAAAGTCCCGCTGAAGTTTCAAAGATTTTCCCAAAGCATTTTTGTGGCCTGCCAGTTTTTTGTTTTTGTTTTTTACCCTCTCCATGTGTTTCTATAATTTCTAGCTGGGGAAAACACACTCTTATTTACTAAGTAGATGGGTGTTAATGAATGTCCTCACACCCTCCTAAAGACTTTTGACCAGGGGAGCAACCTCCCTCTGTTAACGTCATTCATTGCACGTTTTAGTTACTTTATGGAGTAATCATGCAGTTACTGATCTAATGTGATTGTTAATAGTAGTGTTTTTAGATTTAATGTATTTATTTTATTTCTAGAACACTTCTTCTGAATATACTTCCAACTATCCTCATCCTTGGCATCCTTCTCTATTTTATAAGAAGAGGACCTGTTGGTACAAAAGGAGGTCGAGGTGGGGGGGGGGCTCTTCGGTGTCGGAGAGACAACTGCTAAAATACTCAAGGATGAAATTGACGTCAAGTTCAAGGATGTGGCAGGATGTGAGGAGGCAAAACTTGAGATTATGGAATTTGTAAATTTTCTTAAAAATCCAAAACAATATCAAGATCTAGGTGCAAAAATACCAAAGGTAATGCAGTATATTTAAGTTTCTGTTTTCTGCTTGTTTACAGCAATTTGCATCATTTCAAGGTCATGCAAAACATATGGTTCATTAAAATTTTATAATCTGTATGTTTTTTTATTTTTCTTGTTCAATAATTTTTTATTTTATTTTTGCAAAATATACAAAACAACAAAAAACAGTATACGTAATAATATATCAAAAGTTGCGGAACCCTGTGTACATCAGAATAGGTGAGGCAAATCCTGTACATTCACGGAATATTTTTGTTAATACTGTACACCCACTATATATAGTCAGTGTTTTTTGGAACATCCAAAAGGTACCCATGATCAGGGCACAGGAATGCAGTAATAAGGATTTTTGATTTAAATATTAAAAACACTGTGCTACTATTGTGAAAAAAACAACAATTGTGAAAGAAACCTAATTGGTTGTTGCCAGCCTTGACGTGTTCCCACAACCAGCGACCAAATAGTGATAAAAAGAATGCAGTGCAACCCTCCATTTTATAAGCAAAATCCTAACCATGTGTAATTATGTCACCTAGTGGATAGTGGGGAAAACCTCCTCTTCTCAAAATCTTTCCCCATGTATAAAATGATATATATATATGCATAAATACAAACTCAAACAGCGTATAAGTGAATATCATTAGGTGAGCGGCGGTGGAACCCCCTTACTCACCTACTAACTTGTGCAGGTTTGCAAAAAAAATATATATTTGTATTTAGTGAATAGTGGTGGGCACCTCCAAAGTTGTTCAATGAACCAAACGACTCTAATTAAATTATAAATAGTGGTGAAAAACTCCACTCTGTTCCCACTAAGCAGTGTTCAACACAAATAAATAAACCAGTCTTAGATATCAATATAGTCCATAAATGTTCTCCTCATTCCATTGTAAAAAGTGATAACTGAACTTGGGTCACCACGTGCTCCCCTTCTCCACATGCACCAACTGCTCACCTCCAAGGGTGACCTATGTACTATATAGGTGCAATTGTGTCTTCTCCCTTTTAATGGGGTATTTCTGTCCCAGCCAGCTCCACCTTGCACCATGGAATATATTAAGCTTACCAAGACATCACTCCTCTCCCTATCATCACTCAAAAAGAATCTAAACAAGGCCATCACCGTGCATACCATTAAAAACCACATTTATTGAAATAAAATATTTACATTTAAGTGCACAACAATATGTTGCACATCAGCACAAAAGCATAAACTGCATGTATTGCCCCTTTAAGGAGCTAAGGCATTGGCTTCACCTTGTTGTAGTTCAATCCAGTGTCACTTCCTGTTGGTATACTCAATACGCTTTTTTTTTTTGTTGTTTACTGTTGGGGCACAGAAGGTTTTGGAAGAATTTACTGGGCCGAGGTCTCAATAAGGTTGAGAACCACTGAGATGCAGGACAGACCTTGCCAGAGCCTGCAAGAAGAGCAAAACCTGAATCTGAAGTTCGGATGGAAGCAGTGGCTTGTACTGTGCATACAACGTGCACAGTACATTTACGCTTCTCTCAGGGTGAAGAGAAGGTAGGATGATGTCTTGATTAAGGTGAAATGAGGAAACCGCCTTAGAGGCCTGGGGCCTGAAGAAAAGACTGTCTTTTTGAAGAAAAAGGAAGAGGTTTTTTTACAGGATAAGGCCACCTGTTCTGCGACCCGTTTTGCTGGCATGATAACCATGAGAATGAGCTATTCGGATCCCAGGTTGAGACAGGTGTACAAACGGGGAGCAATGTCAGCCACTCCCCTGAACAATGGTCTTGTTTGGCAATGAGCAACCAGTGGTTTCTGAAAAGAGAATGGCTAATGCTGAGACTTGATCCTTTAGGGTGCTTAATGTCAAATGTTACTCTAGCTGAGACTGCAGAGGCCTGGAGTAAAACTAGGAAAACATAACCGTCTCAAATGAGGCACAGAATCCTTGTGCAAGACTGAACTGCAGGAAACTTTTGGAAGCGTAGGATCTGGATGTGAGCTCAGGGGGTTAACACTCATTTGCAGGGAAGGAACGCTTGGGCTGTGTATCCCTAGGTCCAGGTACTCCCAAGTGGTGGGTTGGATCCAAGGAAGACTTCTGAAGGTTGAAAATCCACCTGACATTCTAAAGTGTCTACATCACCCTCTGCCCAGTGACCGCCAAGGTTGGGGGTGGAGTGATCTTTAAGTAAAAGTCATTCAGATATCTGATAATGTGGATTCCTTGATAGCGCATCAGTTTGAGGATTGGGTTAAGCACTTTGAAGACCATGGGGGACATGGATAGGCTAAAGGAAAAATCCACAAACTGGCAGTGCTACTTGCCCACTGCAAACTGCAGGAGCTGCTGATGCCGAGGAAAACTTGGGATATGCAAATACACATTCTTGAGGTCTGTGGATAGTTCAAAACTTTCATTGTTGCAGCAATGAAATGAACAGACTGAGCTGATTCCATATCTAACCTTTGGACCCACAAGAACTTGAAACCATAAGTAATAGCCCTGAAATCATTGCTCAGAGGCAACTGACACAACCACTTCTAAATAGTGAATCTGCTGTAAAGCCATCTGTAGGGCCTGCAATCTTGCAATAGTGCAAGGCTACCAGGAGGAGCTCTAGCTTTTGAAGCACTAAAGAATCTGTCGGGTTCACACAAGAGTTGCGTGCCATGTGCTTGGCTGAGACAATGAGAGTTTGGCAAACTGCCATAATGACCACCAACAGTAACAGTTGCATGGCTGAGCTCGAGAGAACAATAGAAAGTTTACCTGAAAATCTGTTATCCACTGGCTCTTTGAAGAAAAGGGACATCCTCATAATCAATTTCCAGTTGAGACAGCCGGATCCATCACAGGCCATTTACACTTTTGTGGTTGGCCTCTTCTACTGGGTACTGCTGTGCAAACCCCTTGGGAGGTATATACACTTTATCTTGCCTTGACCTATCCTAGTGTAGCACATCCTGTACTGGCTTGTGAACCAGAAAGGATCTATTATGATGGGTATCCCAAGTTCATGGCATGGCACGGGTCTTCCGGGGTTGATGCTGCACATCTCGGAATCCCAGAAGATTGTCGCCATCACTTTGCCTGCTGATGCAACACGTCGAGCCGCCTTTTTCCACTTTCTCTATTTTCAGCTCGACTACCGGAGGGTGCCAACTGTTTGCAAGGAGTGCACAAAAACCATATAGCACTCATGCAACATTTTCAGTGCTGTACACCTGGAAGATTGAGTGCAATGATAAAGTTTTATATCTCTTTGGTCATTCCCTCCCTGTCGGCCTGTGAACTTTTGGGAATCCCCTTTTTAGGTTTCTTCGTTTTGGGAAGAGAACCAATACAGGTGACTTTAGGTCAAGCAAGAGGCAATGGTCTTACCTTCAAACAGGAGTGTACTTTGTCCACCAAAACTTGATGGTTTCCAACCATCCATCCTCCCAGGAGAAGTCCCGGGACCCAGAGGCTTTGTTGTCCGCTTTTTCCTCCCTTTTTTTTTCTCCCCTTCCATATTTTTCATCTGGGAGCAAAGTTTTTGAGATGGACAAGTTGAACTTAGCAGGGGACGCTGATGGGCAGAACGTACACCTCGTATGCCCTACAGTCTTGATTAGAGCAGCAACTATCCCCATTAAGTCTGCCATAGATGCAACAAATTCCTCCAGTTTAAAAAAAAAAAAAAAAAAAAAAAAAAACAAAAGGTGGAATGTGGAGTACCCAACAAGATAAAGGGGATTCCAAGGTGTGGAGACCCAGGTGCAGAGTTTTGCAAGGGACTCTGAATAACATTATAATGACCCTGTGCACAGTACATGATGGCCTTCCTCTTGTCCCATTTCTCCTCTGTTTGATGTCTGCCATTAAGGTGAGTGGGTTTTCACATCCCCGAACAGTGCAGAGACTGTTGCTTGTGGAGTAGAAGGTGTGCAGTCCACTGACTGAAGGCTGCTGGATAACCTGGTGATTTCTATATGGAGGCCTAGGCTAGTCTGAATCAGTGAAGCTGCTGGAGCTGTAGTGTGCTGGTCTGCAGTAGAGCAATGTGCTCTAGATGGTGCCTGGAGCCAGGACTTGGGCCAAAAATCTCCTTGCTATGCGAAAAGTGGTGCGTGCTAGACCATGGTTGTGACAAACGTTTTAAAAGTGTTGTAGCAGTGCAACACACCTGCCTCTGGCTTATGGTGCAAGAGCACAGATCTACCTTTGTGTATTATACCAATTATCATCCAGACCTCAGCCTTTTCCTGCATTCCTAAACACTAAAAAAATAAAAATGGATTGACCTTTTACATAGGATACAACAATGAATTTGATCCAGACAAAAACTTTTAGGCTGGTGCACTCTTTGCTTTCTTGTTCATTGAGGGGGACAGGAGTTTTTAGACTGATTTTTATACTGCTGCCTACAGGAGAAATGGACTCGGGAAACAAAAAAGCCATTGGCCAGTTTGGGATAACTTCGACCACAACCATCATGTCTCCGTTTTTCGCTTGTTTCCTCAGGAGAGTGGATGTGTTTTTTTTTCAGCTAGGAAGGCAACTTCCATTAAAGTTCATCACTAGATGTGGAAGGGATATTTCACTTAATGCGAGTCCTGGTGCTTTCACTCTAGGAGTTTTTCCTTGGGAAAACCCCTCTCCTTCCTGATGCTAAGTCTACACCAGAGTATTTATTATATTGCAGCTTACCAATTCTTAGATGTGGTGGGCCCTTTGAGACAGGAAGTGAAGGGAAATCTCCCTAATGGGACACAGATGACAAAAAACTGACAGGGGTTATAACCCACCCTTACTCCAAAATGAAAAAAATGCCTTTAGTTACTCTATAAAGTGGTCGTAAACCTCTGCTGTAAAAAATTAACAAAGCATAACCTTCTATAGTGTGTACATGCCTGAATCCAAAGCACTTACTGTGATTTCTGTCTGTTGCCTGCCTGCTCTGCTATCTACACTAGTAATTTCTGACAGCTTATGCCTTCTTCAGGAGATGGGGGAGGAGGGGAGCTCCAGCACACAGCCTGCGATTGAAAGCCTTAGCTGTGCATGTTTCCCTATGAATTTGTGTGGAAGGGGGTGTGTGTCCATTTCTTCTACTGAAGTAACAGGTTACAGTCAGCACCCTGCTATGTTCTGTGCAGTGTGTGATGTCCGATCCCTGTGTAACTGCTAAAGTTCAGAGATGCTGTGTAAAATGTGTGCTTTTGAAGGCTCTGGAGAAGAGGTGGCTGCAGAAAAAACAGATGGAACAAATGTTGGATTTGTTTTTTGTCTGTGAATCAAATAAGGCTAGTCACTTCAGTTGGTATATGTAAGTGTAACAACCACTTGACTGCAATTCCATGTATGACCAACAGAGAGCCTTTTAGCATCTCGTTTGTTACAATAAAGTCTATTCATTAACCACTTGCCCTCCAGAGGATTTACCCACCTTCCTAACCGGGCCATTTTTTGCAATACATCACTGTGTTACTTTAACTGACAATTGCGCGGCCATGCAGCGCTGTACGTAAATTAAATTTATGTCCTTTTTTTCCCACAAATAGAGCTTTCTTTTGGTGGTATTTGATCACCTGTGCATTTTTTTTATTTCTTGCACTATAAACGGAAAAAGACTGACACGTTTGGAAAAAAAAACAACCCAATATTTTTTACTTTTTGCTATGAAACATATCCAGTAAAAAAAAGTTAAAGAAATCAAATTTATTCCTAAATTTAGGCCAAAATGTATTCTGCTACATGTCTTTGCTTAAAAAAAAAAAAAAAAAAAAAAAAAAAAAAAAATCCTAATACATGCAAATCAATTGGTTTACATGAAAGTTATAGTGTCTACAAATGGCAGTATATATACTGGAATTTTCTTTTTTTTTTTATAAAAATCGACTTATAGCGGGACTGCAGCAGGCATTCTGATAGTGGGTGGGAACAACTTCTGACATCCCAATGACAGTAATACAGTGATCAGTGCTAATAAAAAGCCCTGACACTGTACTAATAACACTGGGCAGGAAGGGGATAACATCTGGGGTAATCAAAGGGTGTTTTACTAGGAAAACATGCTGCTTTGTATCTCTGCTGCGTAGAGAAATACAAACAGCATGTCCTTGCTGGCAGGAGAGAGAGACCTGTGTTGTTACACACAGGTCTGTCCCCTGTCAGCTTTCCCCGACAATCGCCAGCGGGGAATTTTCCAGCCAGGACCCAGTGATTGACATCCCTAGGCACCCCCTACCCGGAAATGCAAATTACGTGTGTGTGTATATATATATATATATATATATATATATATATATATATATATATATATATACATACAGTTGTGTTCAAAATAATAGCAGTGTGTTGAAAAAAGTGAATAAAGCTCAAAATCCTTCTAATAGCTTTTATTTCCATACACACAAATGCATTGGGAACACTACACATTCTATTGCAAATCAAAACATGAAGAAGAATATATCAAATTTGTGTTGTTCCTCTAAAACAAATTGAAGAAAAGTGAATATTAGACTGTTCAAAAAAATAGCAGTGTTTGTATTCTTCTTTATAAACTCAAACATTCACTATATAAACTGAAAAATGTTTGAAGATTTTGCTTTCCTTTGAATCACTTAATTAATATTTAGTTGTATAAGCACTGTTTGTGAGAACTGCTGTACATCTGTGTTGCATGGAGTCAACCAACTTCTGGCACCTGTGAACAGGTATTTCAGCCCAGGATGATTGGACTACATTCCACAGTTCTTCTCTATTTCTTGGTTTTGCCTCAGAAACTGCATTTTTGATGTCACCCCACAAGTTTTCTATTGGATTAAGATCCGGGGATTGAGCTGGCCACTCCATAACATCAATCTTGTTGGTCTAAAACCAAGATGTTGCACGTTTACTGGTGTGTTTGGGGTCGTTGTCTTGTTGGAACACCCATTTCAAGGGCATTTCCTCTTCAGCATAAGGCAGCATGACCTCTTCAAGTATTCTGATGTATTCAAACTGATCCACGATCCCCTGGTATGCGATAAATAGGCCCAACACCGTAGTATGAGAAACATCCCCATATCAGGATGCTTGCGCAGCCATGCTTCACTGTCTTCACAGTATACTGTGGCTTGAATTCAGTGTTTGGGGGTCATCTGACAAACTGTCTCCAGGCACTAGACCCAAAAAGAACAATCTTACTTTCATCAGTCCACAAAATGTTGCGCCATTTCTCTTTAGGCCAGTCAATGTGCTCTTTGGCAAATTGTAACCTCTTCAGCACATGTGTTTTTTTTTCCAGCAGTGGGACTTTGCGGGGGCTTCTTGCAGATAGCTTGGCTTCACATAGGTGTCTTCTAGTTGTAACAGTACTCACAGGTAACTTTAGACCTTCTTTGATCGTCCTGGAGCTGATTGTTGGCTGAGTCCTTGCCATTTTGGCTATTCTATCCATTTGAATGGTAGTTTTTCGCTTTCTTCCACGTCTTTCAGGTTTTGGTTGCCATTTTAAAGCATTTGCGATCATTTTAGCTGAGCAGCCTATCATTTTCTGCACTTCTTTATATGTTTTCCCCTCTCCAATCAACGTTTTAATCAAGGTACGCTGTTCTTCTGAACAATGTCTGGAACGACCCATTTTCCTCAAAATTTCAGAGAGAAATGCACTGTAACCAGAATGTACAACATTTGCTGCCTTCCTTCCTTAAATTAGGGCAATAATTGCCACCTGTTTTTCAAAGAATGAATGACCTCACTAATAGAACTCCACACTGCTATTATTTTGAACATGCCCCTTTCGATTAGTGATTCAATTACACAGAATCAGCAGCATGCATGTCATGACTGTTGGGTCTGTTGGATTTCTATTACTCTACTACACCTGCTAGTAAATTATTTGCCATGTAGAAATATCATTTCTACCAAAAACAGTGATTGATCAGGTTAGTGATGTCTGACTGCTATTATTTTGAACACAACTGTGTGTGTGTGTGTGTGTGTGTGTGTGTGTATATGTGTGTGTGTGTATATATATATATATATATATACATATATATATATATATATATATATAATTCTGCGCAGCCTTGCCACCCTGTAGCAGTAGTTCTACTATAGTGCGGCAGGAAAGCGGTTAATGTTCCACATAAAGGGGTGCAAGAAAAGATTAAAGTTGAATTTCAGGATACACCTAACTATAGTCTTAAAAATGCACCCATTCCCCTTCCTAACAGCTATGCTGAATAACCTCTGTAAGAAAGATGTATATAATTGCCTTTTTTGAGCCTGCTCCAGACTGGTCATGTGATGCAGTTCCCTTGTCATTCAATAGTGTTGACAAGAGAGGAGGGTACACCAACAATGGATTGGCTATGGGTGACGTCTCTGCTCCAGGCTTTACCAGCCAGCCATTGTCGGCCTCTCTCCTCTCCTTTCCCCTGCAGCCAGCCATTGGCTGACCTGGGGGACTGTGTGACTAGAGCGGAGCGGGATGAAAATAGGTAAGTATATAAGTCTTCCTTACATAGGTTCATCAGCATAAGGGTTTGTGGCAGGAGAAGAATTTTTAAGACTTGTTAGGTTTAGGCTGGAATTCTGCTTTAAGATTTTAGTACAGCTACATATATTAGTGGTAATGTCATTGGTAAATACATTTGACATGCTGCAGATTTGTATACATCATACCCTTTTAGATTTTGATTTGTTAATGTTTTCTGAATTTCCAGGGTGCAATTCTTACAGGTCCTCCTGGCACAGGGAAAACACTGTTGGCCAAAGCTACAGCTGGTGAAGCCAGTGTCCCATTCATTACAGTCAATGGCTCCGAATTTCTTGAGATGTTTGTTGGTGTAGGCCCAGCACGAGTAAGTCCCTTACATATTCTAATAGTACAGTGCACATTATATGCAAAGAATAATGCTTTCTGCCTCATCCTGCTAATTGGCTAGGGATCAGTATTATCACACTACCCATACATCTGACACAGGCAGTTGCAAATCTAAGGCCCCTTCACACTTGAGCGTTTTGTAGCGCAATGCTCAAAAATGCTCAACAAGCAACAATCTATTGTATTCAATAGCCCTTGTTCAGATCTGAGTGTTTTGTCGCGTGTAGCGGAACACCTGTCACTTCAAAAAGTACGTGAGCTACTTTTCAGGCAGAATTGAGCGCTTTGGATCCCATAGACTTCAATGGGAAGTCTGATAATGCTTGATTTGAATGTTTGTTTTTTTTCAGGCATTTTTAGCCTATATTAACTAATCTCTTCCCCCTAGTGATTTCCATTTGCTAAAAAAAAGCCTGAAGCTTTGAATACACATGTAAAACACCTGTAATACTCTTCTAAAAATGCCTATATACACTTTCAAAAGCGCTTATATAAAAACTGAAAATCGCTCTGCTCAGGTGTGAATGCAGTATAAAAATGGCCACTGCCCCAGTCTATAACTGGCCTTCACTGCAAGGAGCACATGGGAGGGTGACGCATGTCAAACAACAAAAAGGAAAAATTCCCAGATCTAACTTGCTGGCCAGCCTGCAAACAAACCGAATTAACCTGTCTAACAGCATGTGTTAAAAACGGGTTTAGTTAGCACACATTTGCAAATACATGTGTAAGCTACAGAGCCTCGTCACGGTACCCCAGTATTCTGTAGTTCCTAACTCTAAAATTTTAAGTGCTCCCATATAGAGGCACATGTATATAATGGATAGACCAAGGACAGGTGGACCTAAGGGAGCCCACCCCTCCCTAAAGATACAGGAGCACACTGGACACCCAGCATGTAGCACAATGGCAGCTAGGCTGTCCAGTGCGCCCCCTCACCAACAATTCAACTACAAAAAATGGCCACACAGCCTATAACTGGCCTTCACAGCAAGGAGCACATGGAAGGGCGATGCATATCAAACAACAAAAAAGAAAAAAATTCCCAGCTCTAATTTGCCAGCCTTGTCTGATTTCAAAGTACACATCACAATTTGACACATTTTAAGAAGGTTTCTGAAATGTGTTACATTGCCTTATTTCATGTCTTCATGGTTTCATTGGTACATTTAAAATTTTTGTGGCTCTTAATATTTCAGGTAAGGGACTTGTTTAGCATGGCCAGAAAAAATGCTCCCTGCATACTCTTCATAGATGAGATTGATGCTGTTGGTCGGAAGAGAGGGCGAGGGAACTTTGGAGGCCAAAATGAACAAGAAAACACACTGAATCAACTTTTGGTGGAAATGGATGGTAAGTCATTCAACAACATCTAGCTTACCTGATAAAATTTAGGAATCTAAAGAGACTTGCTTTAAAACCGTATTAAACCTAAAACCCAAAAATGCAATGTACTGCAGCTCACTAATCATTGTATGTGGTGTCTGCGTTTTTTTTTGTTTTTTTTCTTATTGATTTTCTCACTTCCACCCATCTACCCCCCCCTCCATCCACTCCTCCCCCCATCCTTCCACTCACCCCCCCCTCCCAAATGCCCTCCATTGAAAGCAGCTTTCTGTGGGGGTACTCACCAGAGAGGGGGAGCAAGGAGCGCCAGCGGAGTACCCAATGAAGAGGAGGTTCGGGGCCGCTCTGTGTAATTTTATTGCACAGAAGAGGTAAGTATAAACTTATTTGTTATTTTTTTTAAAAATTACTATCACTTTAATAATTTTTGTTTTTATTACTGCTTTAAATAAAAATGTGCAACTTGGATAGAAAATTGAATAATTCAGTTTTGTCTAAATTGCAGACCAAGGCGAAATCCTGTTATTTACTGCACCCTTATATATGTGAAAGACAACTGATATGTAGAACTGTAATGTACCTTGCATATTCATATTTTTGCTGTGTTTTTTTCTTTAGGTTTTAATACAACAACAAATGTAGTTGTGTTAGCTGGCACAAACAGACCTGATATCTTAGATCCAGCTTTAATGCGACCTGGTCGGTTCGACAGGCAGATATATATTGGTGAGGTTTATGATAGCTAAGTGTGTACATCTATTCTTCACGTTAGGAATCTTACTAACTACTATACTCACTGTATTTCTCAAACATAGGGCCACCAGATATAAAAGGCAGAGCATCTATATTCAAGGTTCACCTGCGGCCTTTGAAGTTGGATATTGCTTTAGATAAAGACGCCCTCTCAAGGAAACTGGCTGCTCTAACTCCAGGGTTCTCTGGTAAGAATGAATAAAATTATATTTTACTAGCATTTAGGTATAACCTGTCTGTTCTGCAGTAACCTATATATATCCTACTTTAAAGGATAAGTTCACCTTTTGGAACATGTTACTTGTTCCACCCATATTTAAAACAGAACATGTAACTTGTTCCCCCTCACAACCCATAACCCCAACCCCCCCCCCCCCCCCCCCCCCCCCCCTTGGTGTGACAGCGGACAGGGGAGCTTCTTATTAACACAGCTGCGTCATTTATTCAGTTTTTTGTGAATGAATGAACTACAACTACCATCAGCCACCGCTACTGATGGCTTGGACTTCTAAATTAACTGCAAGAATGCTGATGCTATTGTAGTTTATTCACAAGCCCTGCAGCTTTCAACAGACAGCCCATATGAAGGTACGAGCAGAAAGCTACAGGGCTTGTTTGCAGAAGCATGACCATTGCAACCCTAATCCACTGATCACAGGGGCAATGCTTTCCAGGTTCCTGCAGGAAAAAAATAATAAATTCACATTTTGTTTTTTTTCTTGAAACTTATCCTTTAATGCACCCAGAGCACTTTCCTCCTTACCTGCACTTAGGGGCTGATTTGTATTGGAGGAGGGATATGGCTATCATAGAATGTAGGCTGCAATATTGAGCCTGCAGTACTTCATATGTTTGCATATTACAGCCGAGAGAATTCTGTGATTGGAGGAGATACAGCTTGTGACCAGGCTGTCTTCCTGGTTGTATAACTATAAAATAGATATGATATCAATATTATAAATTGACAAATCAATCCATCAAATGGCCTACTACATCGCGTCACACTGACGTGAAAACCATCAAATTTCAAATCAGAAATTCTAATTGGAGCCGCTATTTTAAACAAATTTTGAACAGTGTGTGAATGAATGGAAATACCATAAACAGCGCTCTCAACCCTCAAATGAGATCAAAATAAAAATAAAATTAAATCAAAATAACAAATATATATAAAAATAAATTTTATATATATATATATATATATATATAAACACCTATAAGAAAAAAACTACCACCAAATAAAGTTCCAAAATGTTGTGCCAAAAAAATTAGTGACAAAGAAATAGTGAAATAACAAGATAATCAAAGTCCATATGTCTTCCTGGTTGCTTTAATTGTTTTCCATTTTTGCTGCACTTACTGTGCTTATTGCAAAGTTATATATTTGTCTGGTTATTATTATACAGGATTTATATAGCGCCAACAGTTTGCTCAGCGCTTTACAATATAACGGGAAAAAAAAGTGAAACAATACAGTAACAATACAGTTCAATACAAGAGGGATTTGAGGGCCCTGCTCCTTGGAGTTTACAATCTAGGAGACTAAATCATAATACCTTTTAGTACACAAGTATGGGTATTCCTAAGAAAATCTAAAATATTACTGAATACCATGTACAGGGTTTAGCCATTACAAACTAGTTTTATATTGCTGAACCTTACTAGAACTAAAATGTGTTAAATTGTTCCTTTTCTCAATATGCAGGTGCAGATATAGCAAATGTGTGTAATGAAGCTGCCCTTATAGCTGCCAGACACCTTTCAGATGCTATAAACCAGAAACATTTTGAACAAGCTATTGAAAGAGTAATAGGAGGTAAGCAGCTTTACACTAGGACTTTTCTGAACCTACAGATAAGTAAATTGATTCTGTTTTCTTTTGGAAATTGGTGCAAATGACGATTTACTATCAATCATACTAACTAGATTTACTCAGGTGTCTTAAAGCAGTTATTTCATAACAATGGGCTCACATAACTATCTGGCAATTGTCATTTCTATAATGAGAGGTCACCATATGCAGCTTTTATGTTTCTCCAAGGATAAGTTACCATTCATTTAACCAACATATTTTGCTCTCTTGGCCACTGATGGACACAGGAACTCTGAAATATTCAGGGTATACTGCCACCTGCAGGAGAGTTGGACACTGGCAGATAAAAAAAAAAGGTAGACCAGTCCTTGGCAAAATCTCCTTTACTATCCGCATGCCTCAGTTTTTTGTGTCCTTGGAGGATGGACTGTATTTAAGGGAGTATGATGCACTTCAAACAGTGTTTCAACCTTCCACGTGAGTGCTGCAATGCTTCATCACAGATAAAGTTGCTGCTGTTATTCATAACTCAGTATTACATCATTTGCTCAAACATAAGCATTTTATTAGTTGCATAACAACCTTTGCAGCTATCCAGTAAGGTGATTCTCGACCTTGGCTTTTCAGTCACACCACATCCAGTGACCTTCACTTTTCTGCACTGGATAAATGCAGGTCACTGCAAGGGCACAGATAACACAATGGTTTTCAATGTGCCCCCTTCACACAGCACACATGAACACATATATGCAAGGCAATACGCATTACTGCAAAACACGTTTTTAATGCATTTTTGGCCCATTATGATGTGAAAGAACCCTTAGGCATTTCACTGCAATCTGACCCTGCTGGATTGGACATTACATTGACCTGACCCTTGGACACTGGTCTCTGCTTGAACATTTTCCAGACTGATGCTAGTTATGTTGGCTGAAGAATGCTTTCCAGGTCAAGAGCGAAATGCATTACAGTATGCTTTTCCTGTCTCTGTAGACACATTTTTATTAGTTGCTGTGTGCCAAACTTTGTTTTGCTGGGAGAAGCTGCCTGGAAGCTCTTTCTATGGCCATGTTTTTTTTTAAAAGGCTCTGCTTTACACCCATTTCTGTCACTAGTTCTACTCTGTCAAGCCATTGCTAAATGGTCCAAATCCCATTAAACAGGATCTGACTGATGCTGACGTTGACCCACAAATTATTGCATGGATCAGATATTTGTGGCTCTGAAGTTTTGCTGTGATGGGCTGTGAGAAACCTCCCATCTTCTGTCTGACATTAGTCTCTTGTCTGTACATGTGCAGGGATCTGTGGCTGAAGTGCTGCAGAAATCTCTTGCAAGAAGCATTTGCTCAACATTGTCTTTGGGGGACAACATCTTATCTGATCAACTCTGGATGTATTCATCAAGGACACTACCAGGGCAAGAAAACTTACCTTCCTCAGTGGAAACATTCTAAGGAGCATATATGCAAGGATTGCCTAGAAGCATACCTTTCTTTTTACTATGCCCTCAACTAGCCCCCAAGCTTGGCTTTACAACCTATTCAACATAAAAAGTGCAGCGATAACACCTTATTATTAAAACACTGTGTAAATTCATGTAATGCATATAATCATATCAATCAAAAATAATAATAAACAAATCCCACATAAACACAGTGATAGTGCAGAACTTCAGGGAAAACAATTATACCTTTTAAAGTATATGATAACAAAATAAATCATGCCAAAATATTCACATAAAAGTTCAAAGTGCTCATGCATATGCCAGTGGTGGTGAAACAAAGTATAAAGTGACAGTCCAAATACTGAGGATTATTTTCAAAGCATCTTCAAAGTGCTAGCGCGGTGGACACAGACAACATGAGTGCTGCTTTCCCACCAAAATGTTTACACAGGATCCTTACCACATACAAGTAACCCCCAGTCACTGTGTGGTCAAATGCATATATGGTGTAGGGCAGCCAGCATGCACAGAGACCCGGACAGGCAGATCACTCAATCTCACGAATATCTAGGAATTGTTCGGTATAGCATATACCACATGCAAGGGTAAAAACAAGGGAAGACACTTTCTATAGTGTAAAACCATACAAGATCCTTTATTTAATGAAAGTAAAAAAAATCCCATTGTGCAAGATGAAAAAATCACAAAAGAAAATAATCAGAATCCCGCCGTGTAAAAAGACATCTGTCACATGCATTATTAGCACCGACCTACATATTTTGTCACGTGATGTCATCAGGCAATATTTTTTGATTGATACAATTGTAAGCATTCAATGCATTTTACACTATGTATTAATAATTAGGGGTTAGCGCTGCACTCTTATTTTGCATAGCTTGTAATATTTGGTATAAGGGTACAGTGCTAGTGGCTTTTCCTTTGCCTTTTGCACCTGAGTGCGGATTATAAAATAAAGTTTTGGCTCTACCACCACCCTGAAAACCTGGCACACTCAAATTTTTCCAAATCCACCAACAGGCCCCTTTCAGCAGAAGGGGGATATCTACTGGTCCCTGCTGCAGAATGTTTGTTTTTACTCTAATCTCTGTTCACTGTTCCCAAGCCCAACGGTGGCATTTGCCCCATCTTGGCTATAATAGAAAGTGACTTTACCTCCATGCCGAAATACTTTCTAGAGATTACGGTCCTAAAATGGCCTTGCTCCCGTGCACCTCCAAATCGCAAAGGCTGGATTCACTTATGATCTCTAGTAATACTTTATTCATAAAAGTGCATACAATTACAAGAAATCTTGGGCATCCATGTGAATAACAAGACACTAATGCATTTCATCTGATCCCTTATTCATAGCTAACTAGTTTTTCCACTCCTTTTTAAACACAGCCATGTGCAAAGGAAATCAGCATCTCAAATCAGCACCTATCCTAATTATAATTATCGGGCTTCTCTATGCAACACAATCATGTTCAAAGGTCCAGGAGCAAACTCTAATGATGATAATCAAACCTATAAATACAAAAGTATATTTCATAATCATGCATGAAAAAGGTACAAACAAAAGCACTAAAGTAATAAATATTTCTCCCAGAAATGCAAAAGGACAAGCAATGTGGCATGGCAAAGAAAAAAGAGAAAATGAAGTAGGGAAGCTGGAAAAATACAAAGTACTATGTTAGTAAATACCCCTAATCACACCCTTATTTGTATACTAATCTACCATACAAATATCCGGCAAACAAATAATTGACAATATGCATATTCAAAGAAGAGAATATTACCCTTGGAGACTCCAAAGGATACCAAGGACATCCTCATATACCCAAGTGACAGACACCCAGGAACATGTCTGAGAGAAAAAAAGGGAGAGGGAACAAACCATGAAAATGTAATAGAGAAAAAAAAAACACCATACAATAGGTTAAATTCTATTTACCCATAACCTTTATGGTACCCAAGGAAGGAAAGGGAAGTCCACATCTTTGGTTTTTGCGAATGCCTGGAAATCTTGCATAACTGATGCCTGGGTGCAAGAGGTGATGTCTCAGGATAACAGATTAGAGTGTTGTTTCCTTTCGCCCTAACCTCCTATCGCCCAATATAACCTTGTCTTGCCACTTTCCATTGGACTTGCTCTGAACTCTTGATTCAAGGGATCATCACCCTAGTGCCTGCTGCACAATGTTTTACGGTTTTACTCCAACCTGTTCACTGCTCTGTTCCCGAGCCCAAAGGGGGCATTTCCCCATCTTAGACCTCAAGGCTCTGAATGCTTACATTCAAGCCTAAAAATTCTGAATGGAATAAACAGTCATTGCTTCCCTTTTCATCAGGGTGCTGTTCTTCCCTCAATGGGCATAAGATGCTACTTACAGATTACTCATCTTTCCTGCATACCAAAGTTTTCTGCGCTTTGTGGTAGGGCTTTTATGCTACCAGTTCATGGCTCACCCATTTGGCCTGTCTTCTGCATCTCAAGTGTTTACCAGTATATTTGCTCCAGTGTCCTCTTAAACACTCAAAGTATCCCAATAGTGTAAAACTTGCATGACATCTTCTAGAGGTCAGCAAGGACTCAGGAGTCCTTGGTCGTTGGTGGAATCTAGTCTCCTGATCAACAGCTTGGAGATTTGGTTTTGCCGATTTGTTTGCAGTGAACCAACCTGTTGACAGGCCCTTTGATCCAGATCCACAGCAATGGTGTACATCAATCATTGTGGAGAAATAAGTTTTGCTGTGGCAAAAAAAAAAGGTAGAGAGAATCCTGTTTTGGGAAAAAATACATGTTCCAACTCTGTCAGCCTTTTAGAAGTCCAGTGTGGTCTAGTTGCACTAGTCACTTTGGGATAAGTACGAGCTGATGTATGCCTTTACTCCTCTGAAGCCTATTCCTCAATTGCTTTGCGGGTTCACAATGGAGGGCATCTCCAGATAGGCCCACTTTCAAGTTGTGACTCACAGGGCTGCCTTAACACACAGGCACCCTTGATAACTGCCCTGGGGGCCCCAGGTGCATGAAGGGGCCCTTGCAGTTTCCCGCCGACAGTTTCCCTCTTTTTGGCTGGCTCTTTTGCATTTCCTACAGGTCCGTTCCTTGCCCGTCTGTCACATCTCCAGCTGTCTTCATCGCTCTCTCCCTTCTCGGCATCCTCCTTTCCATATCAGTCCCTATCCCGTCCTGCTACCTTACATCATTAGTCTTCACACATCCAACCCCCCCTGCCAGCCAGCCCATTTGCTTTTATTATACCGTGGCTATTCCTTACCAGCCAACAGTATTCCTCATGCCCATCCCTGACTATCCCTCTACAGCCCCTTGACCTCCAACTATTTGCCTCCCTCCCCTCATGCCATCACAATCCTCCCCTTTTTTTTTTAATCCCTATACAGACCAGGATTCCCCAGTTCTTGTTTCCCAGTCCCCCATCTTCTTCCCTTGGCCCATCTCCTTACCGCCCCTCCCCCCCGTACTGTTGTCGTGCTCCCTTTAGTGAGCCCTCCTAACCACTGTACTGTACCCTCCTGACTCCCCCTCTACTGTACCCTCCTCCTACCCCCCCGTATTCTGCCCTTCTTGCCCCACTGACCCCTGTCTTCTGCCCCTCTTGCCCCACCGAGCCCCATACTGTGCACTTCTGATGCCCTGTCCTTTCCTTTTTCTGACTTTTTATATTGTTTGAATATTTGTGTTGATTAGCTTTTGAATTTAGGGCAGAAGCCCATGTGAATTACTTTACCAAGGGGCCCATGATGCTATTAAGATGTCCCTGATGACTCCACTATGGCTGTGAGCTCTGCTTTGGCATTCTGCACCAGGCCTTTTCTAATGTAGCTTCAGTCATAAGGTATTTCAGCTGCAGCCAGTCCCTTGTTCTTGTTTTTTGATGGGTCTTTTGGCGGTTTGGGCTGTTTTTTCCACTTTTCAGTTGGACGGTTTATGGATGCTCCAAGGGTTTCAGAATTTTACGCCCCTTAATGGGTAAGAGAGAAAATTAGGATTTTTACACAGGAGCGGATATATTCAGGGTGAACTACATCTTTTTTTTTTTTTTTCCTTTTTTTTTTATTTGTTTAGTTGTACAGTTGTAGGCGGCAGTATAACCTAAAGGTTCCAGGATTCTTTTGTGTCTCAGTGTACTCCGAGAAAGGAATTTTATTTTTTCTTACATGCGGACTGACAGGTAAGATACTGTAATGCAGACATAGTATTTCCCATCTGATCATATTTTTTTTTTTTTTTTTTTTTTTTTTCCCAAAAGTAAAATATGAGGGTGGATTGAAAAGTTCTTAGCCTCATCACCAAAGGGCAGAACAATCCACATAATTTTTAATAAGGGAAATCAGTAAAGCGTCTATTGTTTGTGTGCTTGATTTCATTTTGATACATGCCTTATTTACACCTCTGCAGGGAATTAAAGCAAAGTTCCACCTGGAAAAAAAAAAAAAGTCAGCAGCTACAAAAACTGTAGCTGCTGACTTTTAAAATACAGCCAATTACCTGTCCCTCAGTCCAGCGGTGTCCTCACAGCCGCTGGTTTCACCGGCCGTGTTCTCTCCCTGGCATCTTCAGTATGGGCACCCGGCTGTGACAATTTGCGGCTTCACAGCCGGGGGCCCACTGCACATGCACGAGAAACGCTGCGCTTTGTGAATGGCTCTGTAGTCTTCTGAGACCTGTCACATGTCCCAGAAGACTATGGGGGGGTAGGGTGGAGGACAACTTAGGCTTCCGATCGCCTAGGCGATCGCAGCGGACGTGGGACCTGGTACCTGTCAAATTCAGGTACCTGTCACATGTCCCAGAAGACTATGGGGAGGTAGGGGGGAAGACAACTTAGGCTTCCGATCGCCTAGACGATTGCAGTGGACGTGGGACCTGGTACCTGTCAAATTCGGGTACCCGCTGCCGAAAGGTGCCAATCCTTACTGGGGAGCGGGGGACAAAGGCTTAAAGCAGAGCTTCCCCTTTTGGGTGGAGATCCGCTTTAAACACAGTCTACATACCACGTTTTTGAAAAATGGCTTTTGACTGCCAATCAATGACGTGTGCGTTTCCAGGCATCATCTGACTTGCTAGACCCATAACATCAAATCTGTCCATGAAGTTTGCTGGATCGCCTTGAAAACAGACTAGCAAGTCAGATGATGTCTGGAAACACATACGTTCTTGGTCAGCAGTCAAAATCCATTTTTCAAAAAAGTGGCGCGAGCAACCAAGCACACATACAATGTACACTTTACGAATTTTTTTTTTCCTTTCCAAAATTATGTGGATTGTCCTGCACTCTGGTGATGTGGCTAAGAAATTTTCAATCCACCCTTGTATGTAGAGATGATAAAATGATTTGTATTTTTGCCCTCTAAGATGTAAATCCCGAGGGGCATACATTGTTTGTTCTTTACCAGGCAGGCTCTATAGAGTTTATGGCACATTTAGCCTGCAATGGCTGATGCAAATGTTATAGCCATCCTCTATGGAGTTAATTTTGGCTGTAGTAGTCTTCACGTTGTGTTTTATTTAAATTGATTTTGCTACTGGATGTTTTCTCCAATACAATCAAATGTCTGATGAAGACTGCTTCCCAGCCTGCACAGTGCTCTCCAGTACTTAAATTTAATCGTACAGATGTGCTGGGTGCTGCTATAGAAAGTAAAGGATGCAACCTGTTCATGTGCTCAAGATGGTCATTACCTCTTTGAGGCTGGATCGTGTTGAAGTGTACAAGCCATGGAAAAGTGAAAAACACTGTTCAGCTCTAAGCAAATGAGCAATAAAAATATCTGTTATCTTTCTAACTGAGATGCAGTGACTTTTGGTGGGAAAATGTGATTAGTTCATAATTACACACTGTGAAAGGAAGCCTTTGGTGAGAGATTAGTAGTTTGTTGCTGCTGACCCTCTAATAAATGCTACTTTGTTTTAGATGCTTTGGTACTTTGAGTCAGTGAGCTAGAAGTATGGAAATTGGACTTCACTTTAATTTTAGTTGCTTGTTGCAAGAGTCAAGGTAATAAAGCCAGAGTTAGAGAGGCAACTAGCATATTCAGAAGGTCAGCAACAAAGGCCTACTATTTATCTCAGTACAGGTTTCCTGTAATTATAATGTTGATGTGCAGGTTTGGAAAAAAAGACTCAGGTTCTCCAGCCGGAAGAAAAGAAGACTGTGGCTTATCACGAGGCTGGGCATGCTGTAGCAGGGTGGTTTCTGGAACATGCAGATCCTCTTTTAAAGGTAAACCACACTTCCTGACTGAGCTGTATCTTCTGATATACACAGGTTACTGCACTTCACACTGGGGCACTTTTGCTTCGTTAAAATACATGTTTCAGGTGCAACAAAAGCGCAGGAAAAATTGTCCCTTTTTAATTCCTTTGTAACTGTTCATATCATTATGCCATGGGTGTGCTGCAGTTTAAAAAGTGCTGAATGCTGCATCCTTGGTGCCTTGTTTCAAAAAATCAACAAAATCGCACTTTCCATTGTAGTCAATGACAACGCACAGAGGTAAGTTTTTGGTGTTTTGAGACACGTCAATTTTTTGTCAGGTGACCAGGGATTAAAACGCATTTGACATGCTTATGAGTTGTGTTTAAATTAAAAAGCATTAAAACGTGATATGCAATTTTGAGCACACCAGTGTGAACGGGTCCTTTATATTTTAAACCCGTTGATTAAACTTTATTTTCTGAAGTACATAATTTACTGAACTAAGTATGGCTGAACACAGGCTAATCTTTCATTCATCTTCAAAAAGATCTAGAATCTTCCTTTCTACACTTTGCAACAGGAAGTTTAAAAGGATGAACAACTCTTATTTCAACATTATTGCAGTTTTTCCTCACATGCTTCTCCTAGCAGTATTTTTTTCATTTATAAGAAAGGCGAACCACTGGTGGTACTCTCAGGCAGTGATAATTATTTCCAGCATCTGAAATTTCTAAAAAAAAAGAACACAATAACCACGCACGTGTCACCTGAGTCTGCTTGGTGTGTTGCTGGATTAAGAGTAGGGAGTTCTGGCACTACATGGCAAACAAGTCTTCTCATCCCTCATTCTTGATGAGATCTATTAAAGGATTCCTAAAACACAAGATTCAGCACTGAAAAAACAGTAACTAAATATAATCTATAGAAAATGCACAAATAAAGTGATAGCATTCAAGTGCTGTAATCAGTCCATGTGTGTAACCAAAGACCAAGAAAAAATAGTAGTCTTCCCCTGGGACTCTGTATGGCAAAGACTACAGTAGTATACAAAAGTATAAAATGGTAATGTGTATTAACAAAAATTGTTAAAATAAAAACGAACCAATGGGTTCCATAGAGTGAATTCCAATACAGTGGTTCATGTTCTACATACAAAACATACACAAAATACAAGTAACCTGACAGTCTGTGATACATCAACCAATGGGTTGCTTATTCCCTGAAGAAGGAAACATGAGTTCCGAAAAGCGTTGGATTTGTCTGGACAACATCACTGTATGTATTCTTTTGAGCGGTTAGCATTTTTGCTAGTTCATACAATTGAGTACTGACGTGATACTTTTTTTATTTGCACTAACATATAATTTTGAGCATAAGCTTTCGGGGTATGTCCCCATCTTCAAGGACCAGGCAGTACTACTACACAAAGTTTTAGCAGAATGTTAGAAGAGATGTTGAAAGTGGGAGGGAAAAAAAAAAACCCTAGAAAGAAACACACACAAACAAATGTACATAGCAATGGTTATAAGACTAGGATTAGAAAAGTACAGGCTTGAAAAAAGGAGCGCATTTCCGCCTTCCACGGCCAGCGCATGCTCTGAAACGCGTCGCAGTGCACCCTGGGATCTGACGTCATCACGGCCACGCCGCCGCTGCGTTCCAGCGTGCGTTCCATCCGGCTCTGAGGGAGGACGTGCACGCCGGCCTCACCGCTGTTCCCCTCCTGCCACCACGCTGTTCCAGCCGAGAGCTGTCCTCCCCACATCGCAGTAAGATGACGGCTTTCACCCGGGTTACCACCCCACTGTTAACTATTGTTAACCACGGTTTTTAAGCTTGTGATTACTTCACACATGTGAGTGTTTCTACATTTAGACTTGAATAAAAAACTTATTGCACTTAGAGGCACTTCTCTCCTTTTCTCATCTACAGAGGTTGCTACAGCTTATTTGGAAGCCTTGCCCTTAGTGCCACACAGAATCCTACGCTCTTCATACAGTAGCCACTAATACCACGATCACCCCATACTACTATTTCCCAGGACTTTGCAGTGTTTGCGCTGTTACAACCCTCCTCATTTTTTTTATAAGACTAGGATTAGACTAGAGATAAGACATCGCAAAAGCAAAGACTGGGGGGGGGGACACTCACAGAGGTGGTCGTAAAACTGTTGGATAATGAGTGAGGAATCCCATGTCCAAATTAAGGCCGTTATCTCTTGTGTCAAATAGAATTATCATTCTTACTTCAAAAGTCTTCCTTTCCTGAATAGTTTTGAAATTTCCTTTAAGAACTAAGATATTGAGGTCTTCCATAGTGTGGTCTAGTTGTGCGAATGGTGTCCCACAGGTGTGCAAAGGTCATCTTCTTTATGTTACTTGATAGTATGTCTGTGCAAATTCATCCTTGTTTGCAACTTCTGTCCTGTTTCGCCAATATAAGATCCTTTGCTACATTTTCTGCACTGGATAAGGTACACAAGATTACTAGAAGTGCAGCTGTATGATCCGGCGATATTGAAGATCCAATATTGAAGATTTGGTTGCACAGCTTGCAGCGTTTCTTATTGCAGGGCTTGCTTCCATTATTTGTGACATCATAATCAGAAGGAAGTTTCCTACTGATTAGTTTATTGCTAGTTCATGTATCACAGACTGTCAGGTTACTTGTATTTTGTGTATGTTTTGTATGTATACCCATGAACCATTGTATTGGAATTCACTCTATAGAACCCATTGGTTCGTTTTTATTTTCACAATCTTTGGTAATAAACATATACTTTATACTTTTGTATAGTACTGTAGTTTTTGTCATGCAGAGTCCCAGGGGAATACTACTATTTTTTTCTTGGTCTTTATATATTGCGATGTTGGCAACAACAGTCTAAACGGGGAACATTTTACCTTTTTTTTTTTTTTTTTTTTTTTTTTTTTTTTTTAATTTTTTGTATGTAACCAAAAAGTCCTTATCAAGAAATGGTGCTCTTTTCTACTCCAAAACACATCAGCTCTGGTGCAACATCTGTGATTCATCCACACATTGTCTTCCACTGTGTCTTCAAACACCTTTACACTGCACAAACCAGAAGGAATTCATCTCTTATGTTACCAAGTGAGTCAAAATATGCCAATGAGCCCAAGGTATGGATATAACCAATATCACCAACCAATATTCAATATTCTTTATCCAGCTTCAGTAGCTCATATTGCAACTGAGATTTACATGGTAGGTACAGAGAGAAAATAAGAGAAGCCTGTTATTTAGAAATTTTGTTAAAGTAAAAGCCAGTGCACTTACATTTAGGGTTACAGTTAACGTTTGTCAACCAGAAAGTGGTATACCTGGCATGTGCTCCAAGTAGCGGATGTGATGTCACCCGGAAGTCCCGCCAACACCTTTTGTCATCAACTTGCAACATCTTCAGAAGAAGATATGCTTCTCTCCCTTTGTCTTACCTGCCATGTAATTCTGAGCTGCAATATGAGCTACTGATGATATCTACTGGAGATATTGGTAATATCCATGCCTTGGGCTCATTAGTGCATTTTAACACAAAGGGTCAATTCCTTATGGTGAGTACAGTGTGAAGGTGTTAGAAGGCACTTAAGTGGAAGACACTGTGGATGAATCGCAGATGTTGCATCAGAATTGATGTGTTTTGGAGTGGCACAGGGCACAATCACTTAAAAATGACTTTTTGATTACACAGATGTTGGACTGTTTCCAGCACTTGAACACTATCATTGTTATTTATGTGTTTCTTTATATAGTTTATATTTAGTTACTATTTTTCAGCGCTGTACCCTGTGTTTTGTGGTTCCTTTATTATATTCTTTCGGGGTGTCTAGGCACCTTGTGACAGCAGCTGACAACAGGATTGTTCTACATTTATTGAAAATAGCGCAGATGTATTTGGGAGTATTTTATTATTGAGACATCTGCCCGTGTATGGCTAGGCTTAGTGGGGAGAATAGCACAAATAAGAACACAACATTCTGTTAACACACATCTCGTTTTTGTTAACATAAATGATTGTGTTTAACAAGTGAACTAGTAATTTAAACACACACAGAATCATACTTGTGTCCATAAAATTGTGTTTTTCATGATGGCAGTTTTTAGTTTTGTAATTTGAATTTATATATTTTTGAATAATTTCTTGGAGTGGACTTGTGCCCAGAAATGGTGGTTTGTCTTCTAGGTTTCTATTATACCACGAGGAAGGGGATTAGGCTATGCACAGTATTTGCCTAAAGAGCAGTATCTATATACAAAGGAGCAGCTGCTAGATAGAATGTGCATGACACTTGGTGGCCGAGTCTCTGAGGAGATATTTTTTGGAAGGATTACAACTGGAGCACAAGACGATCTGAAAAAAGTGACTCAGAGTGCCTATGCACAGGTATGTCTTCTCTGTACTTCATATGTAAAATTCAGTGCCAGTATCGTGTCTACTGGGCATGCCGTGGACCTTTTGATGCTGTATAACTAGGAAAGATAAATGAACAGTGTTCAAATGGACCACCTTAATCACTCCTGGAGTGTTTTCATTGTTGGACTGGCGTTTCCTGCCAAACTTTTAACAACCAAACCTTTTGCATTACCTATGTCCTTGACTACAGACCCGCCATCTGTTTTCAACTTTGTCAAGTGTGCATCTGTTTAGAGTCTTCTATCTTGAAATGCAAAAAGCAAACCCATCTGGTAATAGAATTCAGTCATGTTTATAATGTTTTTTTGCAAAGGTTGTCCAATTTGGAATGAGTGACAAAGTTGGCCAAGTTTCATTTGATCTTCCTCGAGAAGGGGAAATGGTGTTGGAGAAGCCATACAGCGAGGCAACTGCAAGACTGATTGATGATGAAGTCCGTAAACTTATCAACTTTGCTTATGAGAGAACGGTGACGCTCCTTACACACAAGAAAGTGGATATTGAAAAGGTATGCAACTTACCAGGACGTTGCTTTTTTTTTTCCATTTCTTTTAGTTCCCTTTCACGTGGATGATTTGATCTGGTGTGTCTGTCAGATTTTCAGGTGGACCCGATTGGAAGTTCCATGCATTCCTATGGACAGGCAGGTGTAAACGGACTTCTGTCCATTTACATCCACCTACCTCCAGGTCCAATCTAGTCCACAAAAAAATTGGAAGGGGATCAGAATAGAATCTGCCCCCATGTGAAAAGAGGTTTATACCATCTGGCAGAATGTGAGTGGTGAAAATTGAGCACTATCTCATGATGTCTGAGACAAAAAATATTCATCTTGCCCTTTAAAAAGCAGCATGGATATGACATGCTTAAATAACTAGCGTTTAACCTTTTGACAGCCAAGGATTTGCCCTACACAACTGCAATCAGAGGTGAAAACAAATTCATGGCCTTACTGGCATCTGTGAACTTGTTCACAGATGCTGGAAACAAGGAGACTAGAGTAGCAATAAAGACCTTTTTTCCTATATGAGGTGAGATATCTAGGCAAGAAACACCCACAGTAGGTGATGTATTCCATGTTTAGAAGTAACACATGGTGTGTTATCAAGATTACCTTTCATTCATTTTGTTTTACCTGTGATTAGGGAATTATTGGCTATTATTTTCACATAGTCCTATACAGCTGGTGCTCATATGTGGTGATCCTAGTGACATCTATTCATGTTTGTCCCTATTTTATAAGGTTTTTAATGACCATGATCTGTCCTAAATTTTCAGATTGCTGTCCGACTCTTAGAAAAGGAGGTGCTGGATAAAAGTGATATGGTTGAACTTCTGGGACAAAGACCATTTGCAGAAAAATCTACATATGAGGAATTTGTTGAAGGTACTGGTAGCTTGGAGGAGGACACAACACTTCCTGAGGGTCTGAAGGACTGGAACAGAGATCGAGAAAAGGATAAAGAAGAACTAAATGATGAACAGACTGCCCGACACACCAGTGCAGGAATGCCATTTTGAGTGGTTTTATGACACATTGAAAAGTGTAAATGCTGGTTTTATTTTAAAGACATGTAACTGGAGTTTTTTTCACCAAAAATAAGAGCATACCAGGATGTTTCCACACTCCCAATAAAGGTCCTGAAAAAAGAGATGAGTATGTGATGACCTTACCTTTCCACTATTACAAGGTAATAATTTAAAAATAACATGGGCACTGTGTTTATTGTTAAGAAAAATAAATATGAAAGTATTACAAATAGGTGGTTTATTGCTAGAAAAAAATCAGAGCTGTGCTCTATTCAGATTGTTTTATCTGTTGGCTTTCTGTTATTACTGATCTTTCTTGAGATCTGCAGCTGTTAACAAATACCTGTCGTCATAGTAAAATATTCATATTTCTTTAATTCACAAAGAACACAGTAAAGTTATTTAAATTCTAGCTGTTAAAGATTCTCAATATGGTGAAAGGGAAAAAAATCACTTTAATGGGTTGATGTGATTGAAATGATTGAAAATTAGGAGTGTATGTGACTTTCTGCTGCTGTACAAATCTTTCTTGGAATAAAGATAAAACTTAATTTGTCATCATGCTAAGAAAACCACACATGGATTTTTTTGTGAGAGAAAACCTGATTTGGACCTTAGGCATACAAGGTGCACCCTACAAACATGTCATCACTAAGACCTCATATAAACTTTAACATGGTAATATAATTTCAGAAGACCTTTTTAATCATTTGAAACCTGCAGTTTTCTTTAGATATTACCTGATGATCATGCCATAAAGCTCCTTGTTCAAGCATCTTGTTATAGGGTGACAGTGCTCTGTCCAAGTCTCTTTTGGAAGTGCATTGGACGGTGCAGCAAAGTAGAAGCACAACTGAGCGACACACGAAGGGGCCATTTCAACAAACATTACTCAGGCATGGTATCCTGAGCAATGCCTTGCAGCCATCGCTAAAGTATATACGTGTAGATCAGAAATAACTGCAAAAAGAACAGCACTGAGATGTAACAAATGATGAATTATATATTCTTTAAAAAAAAAATAAAGAGAAGTTGTTTACCAGTTCAAAACAGGGCCTATTTTTATATATAGATAGATATATGTTTGTATGTGTGTGTGTGTATGTGTGAGAGATTTATTTTATTTATTTTTTTCCCTAAGCAGAGGCCCTGGAAATAAAATGGTGGGGGTTTCAATTTATATCACACAGTATGTCAAGCACAATTTTTTTGGAAAAAATATACTTTAGCGCATTTTAATGCACATAAACACAATATAAAACCCAATTGTTTGGTAAAATATAAAAGATGATGTTATGCTGAGTATGTAGATACCAAAAGTTCCACACTTTAAAATTTTGCATGCCTGTACTCTTTACTGAATAGATCTGGGGTCTATCAGACTCTCTACTCTGCCCTTAAAAAGCCTCAGGTCATACAAAGATAAGGATCGGATTTTTCGAATCCGGAAATGACAAAATAATTGTTTCTGGATTTTCAGACCATAGAGATGATCGGGGTAATTCTGGTCCCTGATCAGCTCTATGGTCAACCAGCGGAATCTGCTGCACTCTTGTATTCCCTGGTGGGACAGGAGGGCCTGTGAAAGCCACGGTGGGGGGGGGATAGTCCATTTGTGAAAGCAATTAGCCACTAGGATTGCTTTTACAAAAAAGCCAACCACTGCCTGAAAAAAAAAAAATAAACAGAACCAGTATAACCACTCAAATTTGTGTGACGTACCCTTATATTGTTTAGTGTTAAGTGGTTGAACACAGTGCTTTGCCAAACTAAATGTCATTCAGTTCAGGTTTACTACTACTTTAACACCTTATTGTGTTTCGTTAAACGTAATCAGTCCTAATAATCTCCCAGAAAATAAAATAATTTTTGGAAAACAATACCACCAAAAAGGCTTCCTGTGCCCTCTCCACCACAAAAAAAAAAGTTTGGCCGACTAAAATAAATGAGTTGAGAATCTTCACACGAATTGTTTGAATATTTACTTTACTTATCAATTCATGTGCAGATAACAGGAACTTACTTTTTACTTTTCACGACTGGATATCTGAAGTGAATATTCACACATTTTGTGTGGAGAGTTTCAACTCCTTTAGTAAACCAGCCTCCGTATATCAGTTTGGTTTTCTATGTAATGACATGCTTAATCATCAGGTTCATATCTCAAATATAAAAAGTGTCCGTAGGCATATCCAGGTGTAAGACCTTAAATAGTTAAAGTGAACCTCTCATGGTTGTTGCCTGGCTGTTAAAGCATATCTATAGTCAAAATTTCAAATCATATATGCATTTCCAAATGGAATTGAAATTTATTTCTAGCCTACCCCTTTTACTTTGTACAGTTTTGTAAAAGATCTTTGTAAAGATCCCCTTCATTTACATCCTGGAGGTCTTTGGCCCATCACTATATCACTGCAGAGGTACTGAAAGGCATTTCAGGAGATGGAGTCAGTACAGAAATCACTGCTTGCAGGCAGCAAGGTATAGTACCATACAATACATAAATATTGAATGTGACAAAACATACTAGATGTGCTTGCCCACAGGAGTAGGGGATGGAGGGTTCCACAGAAAATGACTCCTTGCATTTTCCTTAATACCTCCTGCAGAGTTCACCGTCCATAATGGCCATTCTCTGCTGTCCATAACAATAAAAATGTTTCCTACAGTGCATTCCTGAAGTTTTCAAACCCCCTTCACTTTTTTTATTTTTGTTATGTTGCAGCCTGATACAGTTGTTTAAATTCATTTTGTTTCTCATTAATCTACACTCAGTACCCCATAATGACAAAGTGAAAACAGAATTTTAGAAATGTTTGCAAATATATGAAAAAAAGGAAAAAAACTGTAATAACACATTGGCATAAGTATTCAGACTGTTTGCAACACTGCTTACCTTGATCATTGCTGAGATGTTTCTACACCTTGATTGGAGTCCACTTTTGGTAAATAAAATTAATTGGACATGATTTGGAAAGGCACACACCTGTCTATAAAAGCCCTCACAGCTGACAATGCATACTGTATTAGAGCAAAAGCCATGGGGTCAATGGAACTGCTTGCAGAGCTCAGAGATCGGATTAAAGCAAAGCAAAGGTCTAGGGAAGCCCTCAAAAAAAATGTTTGCACTGAGTGTTTTCCAAGAGCAGAGCCGCCTCCATATGGGCCCTTTTACATGGATGTTTAGATCGGATACCCCTGCCCAGTTTTCAGGCAGATCCGATCGGAACCTCTATTCTCCTCTGTGGTGCGGCAGATGTTTACACTCGCCGACATTCAATCCGATCCGCCACAAAGAGATGGATGGGGATCCATTCCCCTTCCGTCCATCAGATCAGATGGAAATGGATAGGTGGTCCGTTTCCATCCGACTGCCCATAGAGGATAGCAAGCTGTGTCTGTGTCCGCTCTGCAGCAGCAGACCGGACACGGACCTGTCATCCGCTTGCTCAGCAGGGATCAGTGGAGGTTCACTGACGGTTCTGCCCATGTGAAAGCGGCCTAATTCTCAAATGGAAGAAGTTTGGCACAACCAGGACCCTTCCAAAAGCTTGTCACGCAGCCAAACTGAGCAATCGGAGGAGAAGGATCTTAGAGTGATGACCAAGACCCCGATGGTCACTCTGACTGAACGCCAGAGATCCTTTGTGGAGATGGGACAAAGTTCCCAAAGGACAAACATCACTGCAGCCCTCCACTGATCTGAGCTTTATGGCAGAGTGACTAGACGGAAGCCTCTTTTCAGTGCAAAGCACATAAAAGCCTGCTTTGAGTTTGCAAAAAGCACCTGAAAGAGACTCAGACTGTGAGGAACAAAATTATCTGGTCTGATGAAACCAAGATTGAACTGTTTGGCCTCAATTCTAAATGTTATGTCTAGAGGAAGCCAGGAACTGCTTATCATCTGCTCAATACCATCCCAATAGTGAAGCATGGTAGTGGCAACATCATGATGTGAGGGTGTTTTTCAGCAGCAGAGACTGGGAAGTTGAGGAAAAGCTGAATAGAAGTACAGAGATATCCTTGATGAAAACCTGTTTCACAGTGCTCAGGACCTCCAACTGAGCTGAAGGTTCACCTTCCAACATTACAACGATCATAAGCACACAGTCAAGACAACACAGGGGTGGCTAAGGGACAACTCTGTGAATGTCCTAGAGTGGCCCAACCAGAACCCTAACTTGAACTCTATTGAACATCTCTGGAGAGACCTGAAAATGGCTCTCCACCGACGGTTTCCATTCAACCTGACAGAGCTTGAGAGAATTTGCAAAGAATGGTAGAAAATCCCCCAATCCAGGTGCTCAAAGCTTGTTGCATCATAGTCAAAAAGACTCAAGGCTGTAATTGCTGTAAAGGTGCTTTAGCAAATCCCAATTTTTCTGAATTTCAGAATATCCGTGATCGATCTCTGTGGACCTCTAGAGGAGTGAAGTACTTTTGCCATATTTGTGAAGGTGGTGCTTCAAAGACCTTTGAGGCCTAGAAACTCCAGTTCAACCTCCCTAATTCCTTATTCTTTCGGTTCTTGCAACTCTGTCATGCCTACAGGGTACAGTTTGGTGATTCCTCTTCTCATCTTACAACCAGAGAGATTTCTGAGAGATGACTCCTTGCTAAAACCTTTTGTCGAGTATATACAAAGCCTTAAAGTCCTCAATTCACTATGGACTGGAAAGGCTACGTGCCTCTTGGGTGGCGGAGGTACCGGAATTGGATGGGGAAATTTGGGAGTACCCTTTCCTTCAGTTGGTTTCTGCCACAGACTGCCTAATTCAATTTAAAATATTACATCGTGTTTACTTAATGCCCTGTAGGTTACGTAAAATCTATTCTCAATCTCCTCCACATTGCTGGCGATGTCTGGATGAATCTGCTGATTACATGCAGATGAGATATGGTCCTGCCTGTATATTCAAAGTTTCTGGGAGTCAGTTCTAGGATTCAAATTTACTCTTGACCACCATACGAGTCCTGTGCCAGATTGAAGT